AAATACCCATCTTTATGCTGTCAAAGATGGCCTTAAAAATATTGTTAACAGGTATATTCAACAAGCGATGTTTATCAGATGTGTATTCTTAAAAAGTCTAGAGATCGACTCAAAATACAACAATCACAATCTTTGCAATTGTGTAGCAATATTTAAACTTTTGATTTAAAATTGATACCGTTACTGTTCTTACTATAGTATTCCCCATTCTCAATTGACAGATCGACTACTTCGTATCATTACAATTGTAATTTACAGATTATCATCTGCGAAAATGGGAATCGCTTATACAAATTCTCTGTTTGAGTTCATAACAAATCTTACTTTGCATGATAATGTGGGATGAACATACACATTTCGCTACTTTTTATTGTTTTTCTACAACCATTATTGATTAATGTGAAAATAAGTAAAAGTGCACAGCAAAATGATCAAGAAAGTTACCTTTACATTTAATTTTGCTGAATTTCTTTTGAGCGACCCTTTTAAAGTGCACATATTGTACGGAAAGAAAGGTATAAACATTGGGACTGTAAGATACGTCACTTTCTGCTGCTCAATATTTGTGTTCCGATGCATGTAATGAAAGTAACGATTCATATCTAAATAGAAGGACCCTGTTATAAAAATGTGTACTAGACGTTTTCAAAATTTTACAAAGCTTGACCCGGTTTCGTTATAGAAAATACTACATACTACGTTTACTTATTATAATTGAAATCTGAAATATAAATATCCTATCAATCATGATATGTGAGATATTCATGTGACATACATAAGTATACAATATAGGCCATCACTGAATTTCTTAGGTAGCTTTCGTGTAGAAATGAGAAGATGTGGTATGAATGCCAATGAGACAACTCCCCACCGGAGACTAAATGGCATAAGTTAACTTCTATTGGTCATCGTACGGTCTACAACAATGAGCAAATCCCATATCGCATTGTCAGCCATAAAAGGTCCCGAAATGACAAATGTAAAACAATTCAAACTAGAAAAGAAACTGCCTGATATCTGTACAAAACAATGAACGTAAACAAATATGATATACAGCAACATACGACAACTACTGAATTACAGACTCCTGATCTGGGACAGGTACATACAGAATGAGGCAGGGTTAAACAAGTTTGGGCGGGGGGGGGGGGGGGGGGCGACCAATCCTCCCCTAACCTGAGACATTGGTGTTACAGCACAACATATGAACAAACTATAAAAATCAGTTGAAAAGGGCTAAACTCATCAGATCGATACGAAGCAGAAATATAAGTAACAAAAAAACAGACCGGACTTGGCAATGTATTTATACATCCCCAAAACAAACAAAAAACATCTGAGAGTTACTCGCAGTTACTGACAGCTATTTCAAAGCAAATTTATAACAGCTAATTAAAAAATTATGTATCTAAGATTAAAGTATTAATCAGTACACATGTAATTGATTTAGTGTAAAGACGTCATTAACATTCAGAGAAAAACATGACCTTGTGCAATGCCAAATTACAGGTATCGACAGATTGTAGAACCGTGATTATGTATATGTATATGTATCTAACAATAATACTAGTTTTATTTTAATTTACTGATAGCAAAATCAATATCTTATTTATTAAGACAATATTTAAAGATCGCATTACAGTGTTGAATTAGTAACTTTTAGAATAGGTTTAATTAAAGGATCGATAAGTTTAACTGGGTCCTATCTTATTTTCAGGGCTAGCTATAGATAAACAACATCTCCGTAAAAATATGCTATCCACGTTAGAAATAAGTCTTCTACAGGTACAGTCAAACCTCCAAACCAAATCTTTGTATCTATGGAAGAATTATGTAAAGGTTTTAAGTTATTTGTGGTATCGAAATCCCTGCCTAAATATTTTATCAGTAATACATAGATTATATTCACTGAAGTCCAAAACGCCCATACATACACAGGAATAGCGAACGAGTTGTGATACATTATAACCGTATGATGGTGCCAAAGCATTATCAGCATCCAAAAAAGAAAAATTAACAAGAAAGAATGAAAAGTCGTCCCTCTTGTCGTAAATCTTTGTGTAGAGTTTCCAGTGTAAAACTGAATTTAGGAAAGAACAGTCATTACCGTTTATATTTATTTATTTTAAGTTCTTTTGGGTAAATTTTGGCAGCATATTGAGAAAATTCTTTATCGAAAAATTATCATCTAGATGACGTTAAGTGTTGTTGAATTTTTCAATTGAAAGCAATTTAAATGGGCCTTTACTAAGTTTGATCATAAACTGTGATTCATAATAGTACAAAAACAAGTCTGCTATTAAAAAGGCGCAATGGGTGTCCATAGGAATTTTTTAACTTGGAGTCATTGGGAATCAAAACGTATGACAATATCATTAATAACCAAGAGCATAAAGATTGCATTAAAAGAATTGCTAAAAAGGAATTTAAGGGAAAAATAATACATTACATACCGCACCACCAAATTAGAAAAAAAGAAGATACATATGAACAAGGTGCCATACAAGGCATTCACCCAACACATTCAGCAAGTTTGAAAGCTGCTGACAAAATTCGTAATTGTCTGAATTAGTCATCACATCGAAATGATAAAGGATAATTGTGAACTGTTTATATGCCCCCTTTGATATGAACTATACATTTTAATGTTTAAGTATCAAATTTTATTACCCGACATTTATTATTTTCTATACAGAGAGATAAATTTCCAGACTTCAAGATGTTTTTGATTTGATATTTCTTTTTCACATTTGAGATTCTACTGTATATTGAGTTTTATTTTTTTGCAGCTCCCTGAATGTTGTAAAAACGGCTTGAACGCAACGCGGAAACGTAATGCATTTCATTTATTGTAAGAATTTTGGCGTTGGGTATGTGCCCTTGATAATCTTCGAAATACATATGTTTTGTTTTTAAATAAAATTGTACTTTCAGAGTGCAGAAAATGACGAAGACGATGCAATCTTTGCGTGTGGTGTTTGTGCAACTCGAGTCCAATCAACAGATGAACAGAATTGAATGTTATGGGTGGATGTGACAGGGACGACTGTCATCTAAGAAGGTACTACTATGACTGTCTTTCACGAGATGATCGGCTGACAATAGATTTTTTCTGAAGTCAAGTGGATGCGTTCTGTTTGTGTTTAAGAAGAATGGCTTTTCTTTGATTTATAATTCGGTTATATACTCTTCACATATATATTCCAAACCAATTGTAGACTATGAACAGTTCTTTGATTTTTACTATCGTAGAAAATGTGTAACTAAATGATATATTCATCCACCTTTTTTTTCATGTGCATTAATTTTTTAAAATGATTCCATACATTGGTAAATTTACACCGGCCCCTGAATGCCTACTGGTCGTCTGTTAGATTATTTATTCATCATGTATAAAGAAGGAAATGTTTTATACATAGCTAGTTTTTGATACAACAAGGTAATAAGATTTATCGTTGGCTATTATTCAGACATTTAATATGTATATATATATATATATATATATATATATAACATCACTGAATTGAACGTTGTTTTTAATTTAGACTTGTTTATATATATATGGATGGAAATGAATCTAAATTAATAATTTAATACCAAACAAAAAACTATAAACTTGCGGAAAAAAATGGTATACCGCAAACATGAGGTGCAAAATTTGGTACACCATATTCGGATTTTGACAATTAATATCTCTTCAGTGATGTTAGGAATCGAAAGGGTATTTGGAAAGCCTTATAATTTACCTCAATTTAGGATTGACTCTTGAATTTTGAAGAGTCGAAATAGGATGAACGGATCATATAAACCCGAAGGATAATATAATACAAGCCCAAATGAAAAATATAAACAAGTCTAAATTGAAAACAACGTTCAAACCTATGATTGCGTTGGATAAAACCGCAATTTTTATACGTGTGCCTGCAAAACAATTTTCTTGATAGAGGGGTCTAAATACAGCACAAACACATTTTCCAAAAGACCAAAAAAGTGAAAAAGTATATTTTAACAAAACGCATTTGACTATATATATATATATATATATATATATATATATATATAAACGCCTAAAAAGTGTACACAACAACACCAATAACAAAAAAAGGAACTATAAATGTAATTATTTATAAATATTTCGGATAACAGATATCCTTCATCAGTAAATATGATTGTGATGTTGAATGAATCATATATCAGTCTACTTAGATTAAACTATACAAATCTTGAAATTTATACAATAAAAATGTCAAACCGAACATCAGGTAAGACGCTTGCACAATTCTAAATATGTGTTAAACACGACATAGGTTATATGACTAATTACAACAGAGAGTTCAAATATATGCTTTAAATAAAAATAATAATGTGCGATATGAACTAGCACAATTCTAAAGCTTTAACGGTGACGACAGTTATGATGTTACAAGAACGATTGCGTCAATAAGAATTCCAAATAAACAGCACTGAACGATCTAAATTTGTAAATATTTCAAATTTGACAACGGTAGAGTAGTTGCAACAGAGTCTGCGTATTTAAACATCGCAAACAAACGGCCGTTAAAATATAACAATAAATTTTGACTAAGGTTAATATATATGATTCGTCTAAATCACAGCCCAACAATGTTAGATCTGTAAATTTGCGGAAGAGCGGGATTCGAACTCATGCCACTGATATATCGTGGCACCAAATCGCCTTGCACTATGCCCGACGCGCTAGACCACTCGACCACCTAGGCTCGATAAAAATCAAGCTTTCGGTGGCCGGGTGTTACCTTTCCTCGTCAGTTTTTATCCAGCGTCGTAACACAGTACATGATATATAAGGCATGAAGATGGAATATCACTGATCAGCTAAATTATCTATCATATATATATATAGGTACGTTACATGTAAGTAAAGTACATGTATAACTTAAATAACTCGCTCAAACGCTCCTCATTTGGTAAAACTCCGCTTTATTTCACTTACAACACACTAGAAGTATATAATGTCTTACCATCAACCAAAGGCTTTATATACTCCCCTGTTTTACACCACAAGATTACCCAAACCAACATAGTTCCAAAATAGGCAATCATTGAAAATAACAGTACTTTATACACGCATTGGTTATCTGAAATATCAATATCAAATATAAGAATCATGGATATGTTAGTCTTAGAAAGTTATCATATATTTATTAACAGAGCGTTGTGCCAAAAATATCAACGATATTTGTTCTTTTCTATACATGTTTTCCCAAAAGAAAAATATTATATCAAAAGATTTTAAAAATAAATATTAAGATATATCCGTGTTTAAACTTTTCTGAAATATCGTGTCGAAAAAGGGTTTTGTAAAGTTTCCGTTAAGTAAGAAAAAATATATGCCTTTGAAATTATTTCTTGGAAAAAAAAATATTTTCGTTGCTAGTAGTACATGCTTACATGTATGTGATACAATTGCATATGTAGAAAAGGAGATGACATATAAATCTGACAAAAACTAAAACCAAAATTCGTGTCATGTACAAATAAATTTCAAGAAATGTCGATACAATAAGACAAAATCTTAATCTCTATCATGAATGAAATCAGAATATGTATAGATAACAAATAGAGATTGACAAACTGACGCCTAGTCGTATTTCATCTGTTTACAACCATTCCACGAAACCCAGATACCTTGAAGGCAACATACAATTGAAGGGAAACAAGTATGTATACAGTATTTAAACCGACAAAGTTTCTGAAATTATAATGTATTTGAAAACAAAAAGGTCTAGGTATATTTATACATTAAAGAGTCCTCCTCAGCTGAACGAAATTGTGTAGTTCAGTATTTAGTTTTATCTGTTGTGTTTGGGGATCTTATTTCTACTTCGACATGGATGTTGAAAATGTGTCTTCCTATTGAAATCAAACAACCACCGCTTAACATTCTTGCTCGTTTCAGGGAAAGAAAACTACAATTTAATCGCTCAGTTAATTAATCAAGTGAAAAATGTTCCCCGGCTGCAGATTAAAAACAAGTTGCACGAACACGGTAAAGCAAAAGTACTAGTACATTACTTTTTAAGAATGTTATGTTTGATAGCGTTATCTATCTTGATAGATTTCAAGTACAAACACTTTATAATATACGTTTAGAACATAAATCAATAGGATTAGTTTTTAAGAGGAATATTATTTGTAGTTATTTTATTCCTGAGCGTTCGGTGGTGATTGATCTATACGGTTTACGTCGATATTTAGTCACCTGATAACTTAATGAAAATTCACTATGTACTTGAAACTTTCTATTCGTTGAGAGAATATCTATATTTAAATTTGTTGGACATAATTTGAAACTAAGAATAAACTCTTATTAGCTATAATAAAACTATTTCTTTTGTAACAAAGAAAACATATAATCTTGTTTTAGCTGTTGTAGGTATATATAGTTTCATGCTTGATTACTTGATTATCAACATATTTGTTACGTTTGGAAGACGTATTTTTCAGCAAACTGTTGGTATTCCCATCGGAACCAACTGTGCTCCTCTTCTTGCCGACTCATTTTGTTATTCATATGCGGCTGAATATATACAGGAGCTTCTTATAAAGAATTGAAAAAAGCTAGCATTTTCCTTTAATTTCACTATCGCTTTATAGATGATGTCCTCTCACTAAATAATGTTTAAACTATGTTTAACGCTAATATCCCAATTGATCTTGAAATAAAGGATACATCAGATACAGCTAAGTCCGCCTCATATCTTGACGTACATCTTGACATTGACACTGAGGATCGGTTGAGAACAAAACTGTACTACAAAAGAGATGATTTCACCTTCCCAATTTCCATTTTTTTTCATTTTTATGTAACAACATTCCAGCAGCGACTGCATATGTAGTAGACATCTCCCATTTGATACGATATTTCAGGGCTTAAAACGTTCCCTATCATGATATCCTTGATATAGGGTAGCTGCTCACAAGGAAGTTTTTAAACCAAGAGTTTAAGTGGAGAAGTTGAAATCACCCCTTCGAAGATTTTACGGACGCCATCACTAGTTGGTTCACCATTATGGAATATCTGTTTCACAGACGACGACGGGTATGTTCTAATTGTTGTAACTACAACCCCGCCCTCTTTTTTCCCGAATGTGACTTACCGAATAAGACTTATCATAGGATTTGTACCTACATAAACAAAACCCGACGGGTGGCACATCTGTAGCAGGATCTACTGACCCTTCCGGAGCACCTGATCACTTGTTTCTCTGTGTAGCATGTTTTACCTTTTTGTTTCCTATTAACAAAATATGCCGCATGGTATCCAAAATTAATAAATTCATAGCGTATGCTACCATTTTTATATTGAAAAGTATTGTGGATTATTTCGTTTAGACGATTTTATAATTTCACATGGGGAATGATGGTACACAGGGTTGAAAAATCAAACGTTTGATGGAATCAATTTCAGAGAAAGATCTAGATTTAAAATTATTCAGAAGTACTTTAGAGTTTTTTAGAATCCACATATGGTTAATACCACAACGCAAGTAAAGTTTCACTGTATTTCTTAAGACACTCTTTCACTGCGCAAAGAATAATTGTCAATCTAATGGACAATTCCTTTGTAGAAAACGCAGATGAGCTAGCAATGTACAGTTGTTTGTACGGAATTTTGTGACGCTCAGGTATCCAATACAAACAAGGCTGTTCAATGTGTATATCATTGAAGCCTTGATAGACTTATGGTTCGCCAAAAAATGAAATATCCAAAATCAGATTTTTTAATTAAATTGCTTATTTTGCAGTGTATATTTATCAATGTTGAATACGAACTCTGACAATGAAAGATTTTGTAATTTAATAGAATGTGTATTTTAAGTTACAGTTAAAAAGAGGGAGCATTTTTATGCTTAACACACCCAATTTTGTTTTGTTCACTGATGGTATTTCATATATTTATATATTTCGTTCTTCTGAGAGTCAAAACTAAATTGTATCACTTAAATATAAAATGAACAGATCATGATATATATATTCAAATCCGATATCTAATTTGAATTATTGCCGGCAATTTTTGTATTTTATATTTCTGTATTTATATAATATATGTGTAATGAACTTGTACACAATTCTTCGCTAAATAATTTTTTTTTTATAATTTATCTTTTAATCTGTCTAAAACAATCGTATCTTTTGTCTCCACCAAGAAAACGGTAGACCATGTAGTAAGAGATGGTGCGTTTTCGTTAATTTTATTCACATTGCATCGTTACTATCCGTACGTGAAAGTTGTATTCGGAAAGACAAATGTTTCTTCATTTAATATATGTGCATGTCTTTATAAAAAATGTGTTGTCTAATTGTTTGTCAGTAAGATTTTTAAAAGTTTAATAAACACGACTATTCTTACAAATTATATGAAAATATTTCGTGAAAGGTAGGACAAGAACAATTCAAAATTTGAAGGCAAATAGTTACTGAAACATTTATGAGAAAGTGATTTTCTTAACTTGTGCATTTCAAAGATCCAAAAGTAAAGTCTCGTCAATTATTTCGGCATAAAAAGGGAAGACGATGAACGTCCGACTTACATTTTAAATATACATTTTCATGAATAAAATACTTAGTATGCCTTAATTTTATTTTAACAATTGGTCAAATGAATTTAAATGCATTTACCAGTGAGACGTGTAACAAATTAGCACAAGGTTGTTTTTTTTATATTCAAACACACCTGCCCTGTTATGATGCCTCATTACAAAGATATTTCACTTGACCCATATATTTTGTTTTCTAATACTATGAAATTTAAATGTTAATATATAAACATTTCGCTTTACAATATAAAAATAATGGAATTGGAAGCGAGATGATACAATCTTTGTTTCTGTATTATACATTTATAGGAGTAAACAGGTGACCCAAACACGCTTGAATATAAAAGGTGTACCTGACTCTAAACATGATAAGATTTAACAAACGTTAAGGATTTGTTTTAAAATACTGTTGCCGGGGCAGAGATGCAAGTAAATGCGTTTAACAGAACAATCTTTTACTTTTATGTGGAAACCTCAATGTAATTTTATTTATGCAGCTTCAAGATCCAAAATTATATTACCTACCAAAATCAATTATTTTGATACAATTTGTATTTAAGGTTCATCATAACCTTTTCGCATATATGGCCGTATTTATACCACAAATTTCACTCCGAGTACAGACAAACCTGTGTACCTGGAAAAGTTTTAGAGCATAGCATGACCTAGATAAATAAAATTTAAATGCATTTTAAGTTTCAGAATATTAAAAACTTTACAAGATTTTGCTATTCATTTTTTGTTTCGTTCCTGCAGAAGGTGCCAAAATAAACTAAGTTAAGAAAGAGGTTTGAGAAGCTCCCCTCATATTATACATGTTGTGAGTTGTATTGATTTAAAAGGACAATTGAAGGACAATGGACATCTCCAAACAATACAAGATTTAAGCCGTGTAACAGAGTGGACCATATCAAATGAAACTCAGATGTAAGTTTATTTTGCTATCTTCTGCAGACTGAAAATAAATGCACATCAAAATCCAGGTATGATTTTGATTTTCTGAAACATAAACTACATATACCTTTTATATGTCTAGGTCCAGTCAGTCCTTAAAACTTTCCTAGATACATCTGTTTTTCTGTACTGAGTAGATTTCGTGGTGTAAACACGGCTACATTTTTTAATTCCTTTAAATGAACCGTAGTTAAAACGATTTTTATTTCAAATTCTGTCAAAGTACAGAAACTATTTATGAATAAGTAAGCACATTTCATACTTACACATAGTTTAACGAACAAACTCATGTACAGTAGCGCATTGCACGATGTGAAATGCTCCAAGCTTGCACGCCTGCATGCATCACAAACAGACAAATAGGATAATTACCATTTCGCCAAGATTTTTCTTGTGAAAATGCCTAACTGACCTTGTTCACCACAATCTACATAAATTATCAATACATAAGGATAACGGCAGATATATTTAACTACAAAAGTTTAGTATTATTCTGTGGTAGTTTACATGCACTCGAAAGTTGTAAGGTACACACGAATCTCGAAGTTGCATTTTGTTCTGATTTATATCTTCAAATATCATTATTCAGTGTTTCAATGTTTTGTATATAAGTTAAGCATACAGTAGAAACCTGTATCAATGTTTAGTATATAAGTTAAGCATACAGTAGAAACCTAATACACATGACATAACACCACTTTTTGATTTAATCAATACGTTGATTGCTTCATCGAGTCAGAAAAAAAAATATACTCATTTTAATTTATCGAACGTATATTGATAACTCGATACGTATACGTATCTAAATACTTCAGTTCTGCAACATTTCTAACAGACATAGCATATTCGATCAAAGGACTTTTCTCCTACATACCTTAATGCAAACGATAAACCAAATGACGCCCTTGATTATCTTGGTGTCATTATTAATATATCGTGGGAATTTTCTTTTTGATGTCAGAACTTTTACTGTTCGTTTAAACCCACTTCATTCTTGTATACACATGTAGTGATGTTAACCAGCTGTCATATGGTATAGACCCTTAATGACATTATGTTTTACTAATGACATTGTATAATCATTAAATTTTAAAATACAACAAACAAATATTTTTATATTGCACAATATTTTAAAAACAAATATCCGACTTATTAGTTTAACTCGCTTTTTACGCGCAATAATGTTCAATTAGCAAGAACATTTGCATGTACCCAATACGTCTGAATGTATTGTTTTGTTCTAGGAAACACTCTCATTGAGAAGTAATGTAGTTAATGGCTTGACATAAAATAGACGTAAAAATGACTTGCATTTATGAGATCAAACACGAAAGTAAATTACCGATGTTTCGATCTTGGTTGAATATTTTTGTCGATATAATTTATCCATATCATTTACAAAAATCAAAATCAACTAATCTCATATTTGTACATGACCTTTAATCGTTTCTCTGAATAATTAACGAAAGGTATTTTACGGTGTATTTTATCTTAATCAATCGTCAACATATTACGCATTTCTTTCTATTCGTGTATCAACCTTTAAATGATTTCAAAGTCACGTCCAGAAGAAAGTGTCAAAGCATGACATTTGCAAAAGTCGGTACTTATGTCCGATTGTAATTAATACAGTTGACATATATTACGTTTTCGAAATCGTTATGTCTAGTTAGGTTAGGTTTTAACTTGACCCTACAGAGAAGCTATATCTCTCACCTTATAGTTCTACATAACATGCATTCAAACTATATTTTGTATAGTTAAGGGACATACTTGTTTAAAATTTTCCAAACTAGGCACACTTGCAGTAATTCAATCTCAGTAAAGATGGTTAAATCTAATCATTCAACGGTGAACTTAAATTTTTGTTATGTCGCCCGATCGACAATGTCGGGTAACATATTGCTTTTCCTCTGTTTCTTTTTCCCTATTATTATTATTTTTCTTCCACCTAATTTTGTCCGGCAGTTTTCTCGGAGGTAATTGAACCAATCTTCATGATTGTTGAGCATAATGAGGACCACCATCAGTGGAGTTGCAGTGAAACTTTGGAACTTTAAAATGGCCGCCGTTTCCATGGAAACAGCAAAAATGTGAAAAATATTTATTTTTGTTTTTGATGACTTATTTGAGAATGCCTGAACTAAATATCATCAAATTTTTATACAACATAGGTATCCACTATATACAGGTTTTGGATGATTTTGAGAATCATCGGAACTACTGTATTGGCATGGAAACTGGGGAAATGTTTCCAATTATAACCCTATGAAAAAAACCTTAAAGTAGGTCAAATCCATTGAAACTTTGATGGTATGTTCCCTCCCATGTACCAATGTGGCATCTGTCATTACAATTTTGGGAATGGTCTTTGTTACCATGGAAACCAGCAAAAATGTAAAAAATTTTAAAATGCACCAAACTTAATATAACTTTATATTAATGCTAACTGGCATGTATAGATAAGACTTTTGACTTTGGAACTTCCAAAATGGTCGCCGTTGCCATGAAAACAGCAAAAATGTGAAAATTTCAAAATGCTCCAAATGTTCTGAAAATTTACGGAAAGATGTATTGCCATGCATTTATGTGCATTCACTGTTTAAAATTTTTGAAATGGCTACCACTTAGTGGTAATGGGGGGATGGGTGACATCCACTATTGCTTGCAATGGCAAATCTAGTTATTTTTATCGTCCTTCTATGGATGTAAATGAGGAGGCGTTTAAAAAAAAAATATTTGTCATAAATGAACCAAGCTAGTACAAATAAATATATCTTTTGTTTGTATTCAAACGTCGATACATATTTATTATAGACGTCGTAATTGGTATATGATAAGTAGAAGATTTTTCTATATGTATTCAATCCATATTACTTACCAGTCGAGTCTTTCAAGGAAACTGTATTGTTATCATATCGTATGTTTTCCTTGTTTAATCCACTTCCAATTCCACCTGTAATATAATTTACAAGTAGAAAATATAAATGATGTTTTGATAAAAAAAAAATCACTTGAAGACAATCAGCGGCTCTTTTCACAAAAAATCTTAAGAGTAAAAATACTCGTAAGTCATACACATTTCAGTATAACTTACGATCAATTTCAATCGTAAGATTTTTTGTGAAAAGAGTTGCAGAGTTTTATTTGGTCAGTCAGGTAAAAATATTAAAAACATTAGTATTCAGAAGTCACACAAAACTATAAATGAAACAGAAGAAAAGACAAATACTTAATGGAAAACAAAGGACTAACAAACTCAAATCAAACCAAAAACCATGCATGAAACTCAGTTGTTCCTGACGGGTCAACTTTCTTGCTTCTCAGGTTGCAACAATTGTGTAAGGCAATAAGTATTGAAACGACAGTACTTTCTGATCTTCAAATCTCCTGAATCGATTATCAAGAAAACATCCAAGGTAACCACAAACACGAAGAGAAACATATGAACTCCAAACAAAGCAACATGCTGCATCAATAAGGCAAGCGTCTCCGACTATGCATGCATCATCCGCGCTGTAAATGTCACAATTTACAAAATTACAGATCAAACAACTTTGCTGTTATATAAAGATCTAAGACCGCGAAAACATGTCACTAGTGAGTTGAGACACCGACCCGTCGTTTTGTCAACAACTCATGAGAACGACCATAAAGTTAACATACTGTTGATTTCAGTCGTTCTTCCTCATAACACTATTGGAGAATTGTTTGTTTAAGTAGCACAAACCTGTTAACGACGTCTGTTTTGTGTGAAAAAGCACAAATGCTCTTCAACGTCATACTTTATTTGTTTATTTCTTAACTTTTTTGATCGACAGTCACTGCTGAATCTTTTGTAGACGAAACGCGCCTGGCGTATACAATTTTAATACTGGTATTTATGATTAGATTATTTACTGATGGGAAATCCGAAATTGACAATTGGGAGGCTGAAATCGTCACGAATGTTATAGATTCGTTTCATGTTTTGGTTTTTTTTTTTTGGGGGGGGGGGGGGAATACTGTATCAATATCTGTTTAGATTATGATAATTAGTCCATAAAAACCTATGAAAAGGAAAACCTAGAACATATCTTTATTCCATTCCTTATTCCATAAGTTTTCATTTGACAAAGTTATAGTAAGTCTGGAAAAGGACGATCTTTAATTATTCTTTTAGTATGTACCAAAGGTTCCATGAGGAGGAGTATGCTTCCTTGCAATGTTTTTTTTTTTATCAAATATGATTTATTTTCGATTAAAAATGTTCCTCAAAATGATTTTTAATGCTACAATATAAGCTTGCCCACTTTACATGTTAACACTATTATGATGTTTCTTATGTAGTTTTTGTTTTTTCTGTTATTTGTAAGATTCCAAATAAATTTTTTTTCAGTTAAGTCGTAGTGCAATTTGCACTGTTGTATATATCAATCCAATTACTTTTTCCCATACTTCAACTTCTTTTGGGCAGAATGTTCTATGGTTTCTATTGAGTCAATACAGAAGGCAGATGTTTTGTTTGTTCAACTTTAATTTTGTACAGTCCTTGGATGGTGTAAACTGCCCACTAACACCATACACCATTACACCATTCACCATACAACATTACACCATACACCCTGTGCCATTACACCATACACGTTACACCTTTGCACTATACACCTTACATATTACACCATAATGCAATTTAATTTCAAAGAAAGCGTGCGACTACAAAATTATTTATTTATTTTAAAAAACGAATTTTGATCACAATATTGTAAATTAATGTATAAAATTAAAAATCAGTTCTATATCAATATTTTGCATAGTTTTTAATGTCGTACACCATTCATTCACACCATTCCCGATTGCACGTTACACCATTCCCCTTACACCATACACAATAGCACCATATACCTTCTACCATTGCACCATATGCCATACACCATTACACCATACACGTTTTTGGGAAGTTTACACCATCCAAGGGCTGTATAGAACTTCTTTCATTTTTTTAGGGATCTTGTATTCGAGGAACTGTTATTTGGAATTTTTAGTCAAAGATACTAGTTAGAAGTCGTTCCTCTAGGTCAGTATCAGGAAAAAGATCAAGATATGAAGCAAACCTTCTACTTTTGGTAGTTTTCCAAATATCAAGTACACTCGTATACGTTGAATATGAGATGTAAGCACTCATTGTGTCTGAATTTCTGCTGAAATATCGATCCAACAATCTAAACAAATATGTGGTCGATCAAAAAGTGCAGCGTTTTAAAGAGATCATATTTGTTGTAATTTGTTATGTTTTTAGATTGGAAGTTTTTTTCATGAACTAAGACAAAGTATTTGTATCTACGTTTCTCAATTGAGTAGAAAAAAGATCTGTTAAATGAGACGATGTAGTCGGTCTCTCAATTGAACATTGGAAAAAGTAGTGTAAAGCGCAGACAAATTGTATGTTTTGATATTACTGCAAAATGGTAAAGCTTGTGATTTAGGATTTTGAAGTTGATTTGAAAAGTTTCAAGAATCCACATCTGGTTGATACCGCTGGTTCAGTTATATAGATACAATGGATAAGCGTGGATTCTTGAAAAAGAAACCATGAGCCCGGAGGGCGAATGGTTTGTTTTTCATGAATCTACGCTTATCCATTGTATCTATAACTTAAACTATTGTGTTAATTTCTTTTCAAAATTAAAGCCTTTTCTTAATTAGAAGGTATTGTAAGTGAGTTTAGATAACCATGTTATCGTGTCCAACGATGCATTGATAAATCTCAGATCACAATTAATTGGTTAACAAAATACAAATATAACACTTTTACCTTTAAAGATCTTTATATTACCAGGCATATGAATATTATCTGTTTACACAAAATAAGGCATATTCGAAATTATTTCTAATAAAATTGAAAATGGAAATGGGGAACGTGTCAAAGAGACAACAACCCGACCAAAAAGCATATATATAGTATATATAATAAGTATGTTATCGAAATTTTTCTAGCACTCTAGGCACATCACGATTTTCTTGCATAGGAACTTGCGAACAAACCTTTGTAAAATTATGTAGTAAAACAGATGAAATCATACTATATTTATAAAACAAAAACTGACAAATATAATGTAATCATTTTTGTTTCAAACATGTGAAATAGCCAATAATAATTAAAAAAAAAACGGTAAAACACGCTATTATTACAAAAATATCCACAATAACATGCAAAATTAGAAAGAAACCAGGATAACTTAAGAATTGGATCAACAGAGAGAATACAGGGATTCGAACCTAAACCGACAAATCCCTATCTTTAACTCATTGATTTAACCATGCTAACCTCGCGGCTACCAACTCATACTATACCACTGCCTATTGTGTCTATATAAAGGTACAAGCCCTGTGTGTCCGATGAACCGATGTATATCAGATGTTCATTTGAATATATAAAATAGACATCTATAGTGTAACCCATTGGTAGCCGAGAGGTTTCGTCGATGTGTTGATGTCAGTCACACATAACAGATTTCAGATTTCAAAGAAGGGTTCGATTCCCAGTGAAGGCATATAAAAATTACAAAAATTAAAGGTTAGTTTTTAAATTAATTCCATTAGTGAACAGAAATCAGTAAAGTAGCCAATTCAAACTTAATGAAATTAGGCACACAAAGGAAATAGTTGAATATAATTTGGTGAGTCAATTTCAGCGGAAGATTAAGAAGCTTTGATTCTAGAAAAAGAATCCACGGTAAATGAATAGGCTGACGTCACCACAATGGTTTAAATATATACCTCATCCTAATATTTCCAAAGTCAATCTTTTACTGTAGAAAAAATGGTGATCACTTTAGAAACAAAATTTTGTAAGTGTACATCTTGACGAGTCGGCAATATATCGTTCTTTATATAAGATTTTTTGTGACGTTTAGGAACATGTATCCAGTATAAAGATGGGATATTGTCATCGTCCGTTGTATGTTAATACTGAAGGAGAGAAGGACTGATTTTTTATTTTCTAAAATCTCCTATTCCTTGAATGAATTCTGGGTATATGTGGGATTTTTCAGTTTTGCTGTTAGTTCTTAAGGTAGACATTATTCCACATACAAATTGCACATACAAATAATGTTCAAGGGTTTGTTTGCAGGAACAACAACGTATCGGAAGTCTTATGGTAGCGCGTATGCTTCAAGTGTAATTTCTGTAACATTGATCTCTTGCTGGGTAGAACATACGTCTTTACAATTGCCACTTATTTAATTTCACAACCTCCGGTGGTCTCGTTTCGTGTTTGTGGGACAAATCTTTTAGTATTAAAGGCCTGAAACATTATTAACTTATCACACTCAGTCTGTACATTTTTTGTACGTATAATAAACTGCTAGGGTTCATTCTGATTAATTGATACTTTGCATCAGACTGTATAACAGTTTGCATTGGCACATAACCTTTTCTGTACCGAAGTTATCATAAAAGGAACGAAAGTCAACGTATTTTGTTATAAGTATGTGGTAATGCAGTAAGAGGTTGCATAATCGTTAAAAATTATAGTTTCTATCTGACAAATTAGCAATTGTATCCAGAGATTCTAAAATAAATTGACTGTAAGAAATTTGTTAGAATCAATATACTTTAAGGGTCAATCAAATTTGAATATTGAAATTTTAAAGACATAAATAAAATTGAGAATGGAAATGGGGAATATGTCAAAGAGACAACAATCCGACCAAAGAGCAGACAACAGCCGAAAGCCACCAATGGGTCTTCAACGTAGCGAGAAAATCCCGCACCCGGAGGTGGTCCTCAGTTGGCCCCTAAATAAAATTGTGTGCTAGTTCAGTGAAAATGGACGTCACACTAAACTCCAAAACATATAAAAGAACTAAAATTAAAAAAACATACAAGACAAACAATGGCCAGAGGCTCCTGACTTGGGACAGTCGCAAAAATGCAGCGGAGTTAAACATGTTTTGTGAGATCTCAACCCTCTCCCTATACCTCTAGTCAATGTAGAATAAAGAAACACATAGCAATACGCACAGTAAAACTCAGTTCAAAAGAAATCCGAGTCCGATGTCAGAATAGGTAGCAAAAGAAACCAAGCAAAATGACAATGATACATAAATGAACAAAGGACTACTAGCAGTTACTGACATGCCAGCTCCAGACCTCAATTAAACTGATTGAAAGATTATGTCTTCATTATATGAAAATCAAATACAATCCCTCCCGTAAGGGGTTTTGTATCATACCATCATAAAATATATGAGAAGAACATAGCCCGTATCATGCCAATAACTGGTTTTAGAATAAATATGTTTATTTCCGATGCAAAGAACCTATGAGTGAATCAATATTTATATCAAAATATGCAATCCTTAATGACTTGACAACAGTATCGTAACTATATCCTTTCCGAATAAGTCTGTTTAAAGGTTTGGTTAGTTTTTGAAGTGAATGCCGACATTTTTGTGCTTTGTAAAGAATATTACCATAAAATATTGGATGTGAAATACCCGAACGTATAAGATGTCTGCATGTTGCTTTATATTTACGAATGATATCCTTGTACCGAAGATAAAATTTAGTAAATGTTAGTGTACATACTGAAGTCGTCATTATTGAGATCCAATATATCATCTAAATATCTAAAAGTGTTATTAAATTTTTGAATCAGGTGTTGTTTCGATGGGTCTTTGCTGATTTTAGTCATAAACTGTAACTCATAAAATAAAGTATATTTCTATGACTAAATATGTATATTACATAATATGAATACATTTAGATTCGTGATATTTAATAATAGATAAGAGGCAAAAGTAGTTTTATGATGTTCCAAACTCGTAATCTATTTGACAATATACCAGGATATTTTATTACGAAAAATCAACAAAACTTGTTTGACGGAATGCATACCTTTGTATTCCTCTACATTTTAAATATGAACACAAATCAATGGTAAGGGGGGGGGGTCATAAACTTGCAGTGAGGTGAGAGTTTTTTTTTTTTTTTTTTTTGCTCCATGAATAAAGCCTCATTGTCACTTTGAGACGAAGAACAGTAACTATAGCGATGTTCCTTTTTTTTGTGTGTGTTTTTGCTGTGCATGTACCGATTGTGTCATGAATGGATACCTAAATCCTTTATTTTTCTATTACATCTTAAGATGCAAGAACATAGTTGTATCTTTTTACCAAGTTGAATGAGGTGAAAATTAGGCTAATATAGTATCATAAATGAATGTAGTAAAAAATCTTTTCTCATAGTACCATCGAAATATACGGGAAAAAACGTAAATTTGGGTACCTGTTTTGGTACTCAACTCGTATGATCTTAAACTTTTCTTGATTTTTGTTATTTTATACACATTACTAATTCTTAGTTCACTTAAAATATAAGTATTGAGGAAATTTACAATTTTCATGAGGCAATAATTTAAGCTTTATTCTTGATAGAGGTAATCAATTTTGTGGAGATAACGCCTGTTATATTTGAGGAGGCATAGAGAACAGAATGTGTATTTTGACATAGAAAAAGTGAACATGACTACATGTATGTGTAATTTTTCTGTGATTTTTTCGTATTTCTTTTATATTCAACCTCTTCACCATTCTAAATGGAGGATTAATTTTTGTTTTAGATTCTACCAACAATTTCCATGCCGGAGGCTTCTAACTTTCTAAAATATTTGTATATGCTTTGACACAACTTTATGCACAATTTCGAAGAGAAAACATACAGAGTGATCAAATGGTAAAACTTTGTTAGTTTTTTAACGTTGCAGCATTGCAATATAGGGTTCCTATTATTGCGAATTGTATCTGTCGTAGCTTATTTCTATTTGGTAGTTTTCCGTGGTTGTTATTAACTTTAAGCAATCATTATATATCAATATTTTTTTACAATTGAAATAAGTGTTCCATTGCACCTATGAAAGCTAGCGTAATTACCATGTTAATGCCAGTATATCAACCTGGCAAGGTGTGTCTTTTATCTATTTGTATATTTACCTAATGTATTCAATACTGTTACTTCAACTTTGGCAATGTCTCTGTGTGTGCCATGACGACAGGTCCAATTTCCATTGATTGATTTGTCGATTTTACCTTGCACGGTAAATATAGTTTCTTTTGTTGTACTGTTCTGTGTTATACTTCCATTTTTGTAATAGGGTTCACATTTAACGAACGGGTGAGGTTGTACACAGTCAGCTTGTACTTTTCCAAATGGATCATCAATAAAAACGGATAGGTGTAGATCATCTACCTTGCAGGTTAAAGTCAATCTGTTTTTCGATATTTTCCATGTGAAACATGTTTGAATGTTGCAAAGACAAATTTCTACAAATAAAATTATTCTAACATTATACAATTATTGACCTTTAATAAGGTTGAAACTGAAATAAAAAATCAGTAATTGTTTTATTATATGACTGAAATCAAAAGTCAGCAATTGTTTTATTATATGACTGAAATTAAAAGTCAGCAATTGTTTTATTATATGACTGAAATCAAAAGTCAACGATTGTTTTATTATACGACTTTTTATCCTTCTCAAATTTTGTAGTATTTGCACAAAATACTTAAAAAACTGCTCCCTGTTTGTACACTAAATATATCATCTGGTTTTGTCGTTGCTAGTTTTCATCAGTTGAAATATTTATTAAAGATTTCTAAAAAAAATACACCAAAAACAAAAAGAAAAGAAAAACACGGGAATTTACATGACGTCATAAACCTTCGTCATTGGCGTTGCCATGGAATATCTATATTTAGGTACACTGACGCTGTAGATTTTCAATGCTTTTAGCCAATGAAAAAACAGAAAATTTATAGTCATATTAAAACAGTAGATATTGACCATTTACATTAACTAAAAAAACTGATTTCGTGAATGCTTCATGTAATATGTCACCATGACCATACATGAATTTATTATCACTAAACGTTTTTCAAGCAGAAATCAATGAATTAGATAAAGTATCTCTATAATAGTATCAAATCACTTCTTATCAAATACAAATATAAGTCAAATAATGTATCATAAAATTATTTGTTATGTCTCCTTGAAAACGTTGAATAAACTTATAAATGATATACTTAACGATCTCCTATATATATCTAAAAACAATGGTAGGCATCAATTATAATGGCGACTTGGTCATATACCGATTAGTAAATCTATACTATTAAATTTGTAGACCAACATTTTTTAGCTGGTTTGTCTCCGAGCCGACGATCGTCTGAAGTATTATATAATAATAAATGGTTAGTGTATGTAATGTACTTTATAACTTCATATAGTAATTGCTTTATTAATTAAACCCCAAATAATGTTCCGTAGCTGGTTCCTTACTGTCTACGTTTTGTAAGCAGGCGGAAATGGTTTTGTATCTGTTTGAAGCATGCGCAAAAGGTACCACAAAATACAAAAATATTTATTCGAAAAAGGTATAATCTAGAATTGAAAAATTGATCTGAAATCAAACTTACAGACTTGCTATATGCAAACATTTATTAGAAGAAAGGAGCAGTCGTTTGGAAATGTACCCTCAGAGCTATGCATTGTGTAATTCCTTTTGAATTCTGAGTCCGGAGCTATTTTTTGACTAAGCGGCCAATTCAGAAAATAGCTCCGAACTCGGAATTCAAAACAGATTATGCATTGTGCAGGTTGGACCCTTCCCCCCCCCCCCCTCTTCCCCCACCACACACACACACACACACACACACACACACTTTTCCTTAGTTGTGAAGATCAACATTATGCATCAGTGCATAAAAATAGTTTGAGAAACACGAACCCAAGCTGTGTATCACCATAAACATTTTAAGTAGTCTTCAAGAGGCGCTCGCGCGGGTTTTTTCTAGTTACCTGATATTTTCACGGAGTGCGACACAATATCGTTTTTCAGCTCACTCTACGAATGTACGCGTATATTTACAGTGTTTGTCACCAAAGGCTGTTCTCGCGTATCGATAAACCTGAGGATCACAAAAGGCATTTCTGAAAAGTAAATATATTAAGAGGGGCATTGATTTTATCAATTTATCTGGTATATTTAATGAATCTACTATTCTAAACTTTATACCTCCCTATTTTGATAGCACAGAACCATCTATTATTTCGTAAACATATGGAAACCAACACCAGATCAATGTTTATTTATACGTCAGTAACACCAGAAGTCAGTAAAAAAATAATACAACGCTAACTTGAGACAGTGAATCGTCGCAATTTAAATGATCCCTATGGCCACAATATTACAGGGAGACCTCGATCTTATACTTAAGGACCGAGAGGTTAAAAACATTTTGAAAAAAGAACCAAATATCATCATCCATCTTAAATAGATTAGAAACAGTGTCGTCAGGTCATAGAATAAGCTTTTTTTTTTATCCTAGTGTATTATTTGATGTTAACGTGAAAAATCTGATATATAAAACTCTTGATCTAAACAAATGTATAAATTTTGTGGATATTAGAATATCACATTTTGAAAATGATTTAGAAATAAATAAAAGGGTATATAATACGCCGATTTCTACAGTACGAAACAAACTTCAAGCCCTTTATAGCTTGCTGTTCGGTGTGAGCCAAGTCTCCGTGTTTAAGGCCGTACTTTGACCTGTAATTGTTTACTTTTTACACATTATGACTTGGATGAAGAGTTGTCTCAGTGGCACTCATACCACATCTTTTTATTGCTATTCAAGTTCTTGCAAAGCAGTTTGTGTTTGATCGGGCTGCAAAAGCAAGCAGCAATGTGTAGGTGGTATGACAAAAATACTACACGGAGGTTCGTAGGAATGAAATTATAAATTCTTCTACATTCAGGTACATGCGGTCCGCAGATTGTCATATCATAACCACACCAAAGTTTATGGCCTGTTCTGAACATTCGAAGTTCCCTACTATGTATTAGTTACCTGAACTACTAACAAAACGTAAAGTATCGTTTCATCTCTACTTCTAGAAAGTGTTCTACAAATGGTCATTAGGGCTTTTTCCTAGTACCTTAACTACTATCAAAGAACTTATCATTAACATTTGTAATAAAACATAAAAAAATAGCGGAATCAACCGTTTGTGTAAAACAATCTTTTGATGTTATTGATTAATTACGTGCTTTTGATGGTCCGTTTGATTCTGTTGACAGTTTTGGCTTTTCAACTCTTTATACTACACTTTCACATAACTTATCAAACAAAGGTTTTCCTATTTAATTTAATGGTCCTTTGGTAAATGTATTTGCTGGAATTCATTAAAAGCCTTCTGTTCTAATGCGAAAGGTTAATATGCTAGATAGACTCATATCTGGTCTGTGTTTTTGTTACGTGTGTTCCTGCTTTGTATTTATCTCATTGGTTACACCCCTTTCAATTAATTTTTTATTGTTTTTTCATATGTTCAACGGTTACACCACTGTCTCAGGTTAGGGGAGGGTTGGGCATCCCGAAACATGTTTAAGCCTACTACATTCTGTATGTGCCTGTCCCAAGTCAGGAAAGCTTGTAATTCAGTGGTTGTCATTTGATGCTGTATATCAAATTTGTTTTCGTTCTTTTTTTTACATCAATCAGGACGTTATTTTCTCGTTTGAATTGTTTTACATTTGTCATTTCTGGGCCTTTAATATCTGACTATGTCGTATTGGTTTTGCTCATTGTTGAAAGCCGTACGGGAACCTATAGTTGTTAACTTTTATATATTTGATCTCTGTTGGAGTGTTGCATCATTGGGAATTATAATACATCTTTTAATTTTCATATTTATGATTAATAATGCTATAACGAAGAAGAAAGTGTTAAACTTCTGTATTTATCTTCGATATCCTTTTTAGAAACCTACAACAATTTATGCTGTCGTAAAGGAATGCCATTGAACAATATTTTACAGAGATGTATCGTAAAAAAAATCAAATTTATTTAAATATTTTAACTTTAATTGTGTTGTTGTCGTTTTTTGTTTTTTTTTTTTCTTTTTGTTCCTTCTTAGTTATCGTAAGCCTTTTAAATTAGAATTCCAGATGTCTTTGTCAGTATTTTTAAATTTAAGGGCATGGTATAAAAAGATAATGCTATGTCAGAAAAAAATATCAATATTTCGCATAACAATGTCAAGACAATATTTATGATAAATTATTCAAATTTTATGTGAGAACCGTCCGTAAATAAATTTCGATACAAATATTCGTCACTTTATGCATCTTCAACTTATTGACCGGGCATATAGTATTATCCATTTCCGCACACTTGTACTTAAAATATAAGCTGGATTTACTTTTATTTTTTGTTATTATAACCGAGACATCTAATTTGTTTTTGTTTATTAATATAGAATGATGATTCATATAGATCACGCTTGCATTTCACCTAATATCCCGACCTTTTGAAGGATGTATTGCCCTCAGACTTCATGAAAACTGTTCCAATCCCCGGGCAGGAGACACACCTTTTGTCGTCATATTTTCATTAATTTGTGAAAAATGCGCATTGAGACCTCGAAAAGGCGTTTAAGGTCACTAAAAAGTAATAGCTTCAAATATACTAATCTATGAAAATATTTAACGAAGAAAACAAATGAATTGTTTATTTGTGTTGCAAAGACGTATCTACTGTACACTGCAATTATACTACCTTTATGCCCAATATTATTTAAACAGACAATGATTGTTTTTTTTTATTATTTTGTGAAAGATATTTTTCTCTCGTTTTCATTCGGGTTCGAATGTTTAGAAAAACAAACAATTATAGACAAAAGGAGCAGAACACGTTCAAACATATTAGGTGATGTTATTTCTTACAATAATTATAATGACTATCATATTTAGCTCTCATTTAGTATCATATATCCTACATTTTTGAATACGCGACATCGTTGATGCCATTTTCAAAAGCCTATCGCTTGTACGTATAAACGTTTTCACGGTCATGTGTTGTATCAGACCATTTCCATTTTGAATATACATTCCTGAATTTAAAACAGCTTATAATAACTAAATGTACTATGGATAATGATGATAATCACTAAAAATCAATATAGGCCAATACTTTGTCGATTTCGGTCCCTTATAACATTTAATAACATAAATGGTACCAATTTTTCTGCACCAGATGCGCATTTCGACAATAAATGTCTCTTCAGTGATGCTCGAGGCCAAAATATTTGAAAATCCAAAGCTTATTAAAAAGATGAAGAGCTATAAACCAAAAGGGGCAAAAATGTAAAGCCAAAGCTGGGCAAGGAATCAGAGCTTTGCATGAGGGAGATACATTCCTTAATTTTAAATAATTTTCAAAATTTTGTAACAGCAAATTCTAATAACACAAAATCCGTGTTTTCAGGCCAGTACCGAAGTACTGGCTACTGGGCTAGTGATACCCTCGGGGACTATCAGTCCACCAGCAGAGGCATCGACCCAGTGGTAGCAATAACATAAACGGTACCAATTTTTCTGCACCAGATGCGCATTTCGACAATAAATGTCTCTTCAGTGATGCTCGAGGCCAAAATATTTGAAAACCCAAAGCTTATTAAAAAGATGAAGAGCTATAAACCAAAAGGGACAAAAAAGTAAAGCGAAAGCCGGGCAAAGAATCAGAGCTTTGCATGACGGAGATACATTCCTTAATTTTAAATAATTTTCAAAATTTTGTAACAGCAAATTTCAATAACACAAAATCCGTGTTTTCAGGCCAGTACCGAAGTACTAGCTACTGGGCTAGTTATACCCTCGGGGACTATCAGTCAACCAGCAGAGGCATCGACCCAGTGGTAGCAATAACATAAACGGTACCAATTGTTCTGCACCAGATGCGCATTTCGACAATAAATGTCTCTTCGGTGATGCTCGAGGCCAAAATATTTGAAAATCCAATGCTTATTAAAAGGGAGAAGAGCTATAAACCAAAAGGGACAGTAAAGTAAAGCCAAAGCCGGGCAAGGAATCAGAGCTTTGCATGAGGGAGATACATTCCTCGATTTTAAATAATTTTCAAAATTTTGTAACAGCAAATTTTAATAACACAAAATCCGTGTTTTCATGCCAGTACCGAAGTACTGGCTACTGGGCTAGTGATACCGCCAGGGACTATCAGTCTACCAGCAGAGGCATCGACCCAGTGGTAGCAATAACATAAACGGTACCAATTGTTCATGCGATATGTGGTGTCTGCATGTATAATCATATTTAATAGTGGATCCCCAGAGAATAGTCATCTTAAAACTTTATCGTCAAATCTTTCAGTTAAATAGTTACATCCAATTTCCCTGACATACATATTTGAATAATTTATCATTAATATTGTCTTGATATTGTTCAGCGAAATATTGTACTCTTTTTATCTGACATAGCATTATTACTTCGAACCATGTCCTTTCATATGAAAAAAGTATAATTACAAAAATACCGAACTCCGAGGAAAATTCAAACGGAAAGTCCGTAGTCAAATGGCAAAATAAAAAGTTCAAACACAATAAACACATCAAACGAATGGATAACAGGATAACAACTGTCATATTCCTGACTTGGTACAGGCATTTTCGTATGTAAAAAATGGTGGATTAAACTTGGTATTATAGCTAGCTAAACCTCTCACTTGTATAACAGTCGCATAACATTCCATTATATTGACAACGATGTGTGAACAAAACAAAGATAATAAAAGGTAAATATGTCAAAAATAGGGATACAGTAGTTAACGTTGAGTAATCTTAATCACTATAAAAACAATCAAATTTGTAACAAAGAAACACAAAAAGGCATATAGACAAAGCACATTAGCAAAAATGAAAGACAAGAATACAAAAAACCCACCACAGCACAACACAAATGAGATTAGGAAGAAATATCAATTAGGGTTAACATATTAAATTTAACTATTGTATTTAACAATGAGTTTCTTTTGATTTTGTGGAATACTGGTTGTCGTTATTAAATCGGTCACGATAAATTATCAAAAGATTTTGTCAAAGAGAGGCGAAATATACCAAAGGGATATTCAAACTAATAAGTTGAAAATTACCTGATGATCAAAATCAATAACTGTTCTGTTAAATTTGATGTTGATACCGATAACATAAAATTAATTCATGAAAGTAAGATGTTGCATTTACCTTTAGTTGCAAGCATAAGGACGAAGGTTACAGTTCCAAGATATGCGTGTAACATCATTGTATATCTGCAAAATCAAATAATCAGTGTTCAAAACTGCTAAAAGAAAATTATAAAAAATACAATAGCTTCAATGTTTTACATATCAATATGTATGTTTTATTTGTTTACGTTTTGTAATAGTCAGGCCGCACAAGCACTTCAAATACATACGGATGTACTTGATTCTTTTGAGATATTGCGTTCTAAAAGTTGACAGATATAATAAGTAGACAACTGTAAAACTAGTATGTTTCAAGCCACACAATACCTCATCAACTAAAAGATAGATATTAATATTGGTGGCAAGGAAAGTCCGTCTTTAGTTTTTATATAAGTGCATCAACCACAATTCAATTTCAAGCTCTGGTGCAGTCGAATGAAATAACAAACACGGTAGCGATCAACGTAACATAGATTTTGTTTATAGCCTTACAATTAGCGGTTTATTGATCAATCATGAAGAACAATAAATCCGTCGGAGAGATATTATCCAATCATATAATTATATGCATGTATATGATAATCAAATTAGCAGAGAAAACAATCAAGATCACAGCAAAAGAAAAACAACTGAGACAATATTTTCATAAGCTGGATGCATCTTTTAGGTAGATCCTGTTCATAAGGTTTACCCTTCCGGAGCACCTGAGATCACCCCCAGTTTTTGGTGGGGTTCGTGTTGCTTAGTCTTTATTTTTCTATGTTGTGTCTTGTATACTATTATTTGTCTGTTTGTCTTTTTATTTTTTAAGCCATGGCGTTGTCAGTTTATTTTCGATCTATGAGTTTGACTGTTCCTCTGGTATCTTTCGCCCCTCTTTTTCATATATTTGATGAACCAGACTTGTAATTAGTACTAGATTGCGATATTTAGATCGATCAAACATTCTACAACTATTCTGGTTATGTTCAAAATTCGTTTCGTACAATGATACAATTAACCCGATTAACCCATATATAGATCTATTACATAAACATGAACATAATAAAATAATGATTATTACCTGAACCATTAGAATGAAATGAATTTTAAGATTTGAAAACAAATACCCTGTTATTTACTTCCTCGTAATAAACATTTATAGCATGTTCAGTCAGGATGATACTACCCATTGGTTATATTTTAAAATTATTTAAATGACATGTGATATCTAAATGTTTATCAGCTACACAGTTCAAGGTGCTTACTAAATTTACTAAAGAAATATGTTAATACTGATAAGACTGTACAATTAGGTTTATTTTTAATTTTAATTCGCTTAGTCATGCGAAATCGACGTCCTTTTATTACACTGTTTGATATGATTTAAAACATTGAAAAGATTTACCTGCGGATATAGGTGGAAAAGAGTCTACTGCGCATTCGTTTTGTTAACACTTTGGTTTCATAACTGAATGCCGTTATCATGGCGGAAAAGACGTAGAATAAAGAAGGTTTGTATTAGATCGGTGTAGAGACAAAATTGATTCATCTTTGAGATTATATATTCTTGCCTTTCATTGTCGTCATAAAAACGGATATTAGTTATAATTATTCAACTTTCCGCTTTCAAGTCTGGGTTAAAGGTTTAAGGACTGCATACCAAAAATTGTAGTGCTGAATGATTAATTGATAGATTTTTTTCTTCTTAACATCACTCAGAATGTAAATAAAGGAAGAAGACATCAAAATAGCAATCAATAACATAACTTAAACATAGATAGACACCATATGGTCAAATAAAAAAAGACGACAAGACAAACAACAGTCTAAAACACACAGAGTACTAATATTAAAGTACGAACTAAACAACTATCGGTTGTCAACCTTACAGTTTACATCGTAAGCAGTTCTTACTCCACTACTACCACATTGTTTGCATTCAATTTAAAACCAAGCGGTAAGTCGCATTTGATTACAGTCCTGAAATAGGATAAAACAACAAATTGACAAAAGAATTCAAAGACGGTCACCCAAAATCAAGATTGGTATATATAAACCTTTAGAGCATCTACCTTATGATTAAGAACATTTTGATCAATAGCTTCCTTGTCGATAGCAAATATATATCTAGGAAACAATCGCCCTCTAATATATTGTCACTTAAAAGATTAAAACTCCACATGCTACTTTTATGTTGCCACATACAACGAAATACTTGTATTCACAATGTGAAAATAATAGTCGACTCTTCTGTTGTAAAATTCTGGTCTTAACCGACAGTTGTTGACTTTCTATGTGGATTAATGTGTAGTAGACCTAACTGTTTCTATATAATTCTTTTCAAATCTCTGGTAAAGATGCATTCGACGGTAAAGTAATCACACAACTTTAATGTATGCAGTGAAGGGACAACATTTACTCCAAGTCAGTTTAAAAATTTGTTAATCGAATGACATACATTTTTTTAATCCAAGAAAAGGTTGAAGGTGTACATCAAATGCAACAACAGGTAATTTTGAAATCCAAACATAAAATTTCCCTTATGTGGTGACATTTATAACTCTCAGATACCACTGAAAAGGCAACAAAAGATAGTATCGCACTCACCTGTTGCTTTGCAAAAAGTCAGCAAACTTCGTCTTTTGTTTGATCATTGTTGAAAGCCGTGTGATGAAAAGTTCACATTCTTGTACCTTGGTTTTCTTTGGAAAGTTTTCTTATCTTCAATTATCCAACACCTCTTTTTTTCATACATGTTACATTTTAAGGGCCATTTTAAAACACGGATTGTTAACCATAAAAAAGATCCAAAATGCTGCTGTTCATTGTTGTCCTAAAAAAATTGTGCCCATCTTACAATCGTATTTTTAAATGTATCAATAAAGATTTGCTTATTCATCAATGAATTACCATACACTTTTGATAACATATTACAAAATGTCTCCCATCAGTCAATGATCAACCAAGCATAGTTTTATTCTGGCTTTCTGTTGAACAAACACCTCAGTTTGTTTAACCAATTGACGCTAGTAGACAAAAGCTTTGTTAAATTGATAAGCTTTTTTATCTGTGCTGTGTCATTTGTCGATAATTTAATTATTAATAGCTTTATCAAATATAATTCGAATTTCAAATCAATTCTATAAATATAAAAATAAGAAGATGTGGTATGATTGCCTATGAGACAACTCTCCACAAATGACCAAAATAACTAACAACTATAGGTCACCGTACGACCTTCAACAATGAGTAAAACCCATACTGCATAGTCAGCTTTAAAAGGCCACGCAATGAGTATATCAGAGCATACATCTTCAAATAGAACAGTCAGCAAAAACGATAATATCAAAAATCGTACTTGTTCATAGCAAAGGATAGTCTTTATTTTTTAACTCTAGAAAGTTCTTGCGTGATCCTTTTGATTATCGGTCCATTTGAGTTGTTGCATTTAATTTGTGTTCATTATTCAGGTGTCCTCTCGAATTAACTTCCTTTCATTGAGGGGTTTAATTGAATTGCTGTTTTATCTGTTATGTCGAAAGTTTTACGGAAGTCATTGGCATTTGATTGACCATTCTTGAATATCTGTATCAAAAATTATCTAGAACTTGTTCCGTTTGTCATATCCCCTTTCGCTCTTATCTTCTCTCGATTGAATTTTAACGATTGAGGCTCATAATCGATTTTAAAAAGCAAAGATACTGTTGGTGACTCTAGTAGATCAGAAACTGATTACATTTCAGTTTCTCTCTGATTTTATGGAGTTATTTGTGTTGCTTATTCTGTAGTTTTCAATGTATCATTTTGTTAACTGGTGTTTACGCTTTCAACCTTTTTTCTTTTTAACCTTTGTTGTCTTTTTGTTTTTCAATTAATGGTTTTTGATTGACCCTTTTTATCTTCTCCCTTATTTCAGATATATAATACTGAAAATATGGCGAAATGAAACAATACATATCGGATGGAATTTTCCTTTTCAGAACAACTTAATCGCTATCATTTTCTTTCTAGAAAGAAGATCCAGATGCACTTATGATAGTGAAATAATACCTAAAAGGAAGTACTCGTCATGAATAGAATATTGCAGATACTTACATTTTATCTCTTAGCAGGTAACATAATCAAACACATGAAACAATAATTAATCATTTTTTCTTTGTCTCCTTCATTAACATTTGGGGGACCTATCATATACCTATTTTGAAATTGAACAATGTTTAATTGAAGTCACTTCATGTCAACTTTACTGGTAATCATTGATTTTTGTAAATAATTTTGTAGACAGGTAAATGTTTTATATTTATATAATTTGAAACTCGAAAGATATTTGATTTAAACCAAAATAATAAAGAATAATAAAGAATATAGTTTACGAAAGAATCTAAATAATCATGTACAACGCATGACGTAATGTAGTAAGAGATTCGTCGAATATCTATCCCGATACAGTATCCAGTTCTTCGATACATGAATAATATGGTGTTACAATTTTTTCTGTAAACTAGTTGATAATTTATGCAATTCCCTGAAGAAAAGTTGTTGCATGTAAGAATAAAGATTCAAATGACATGGAGTATACGTTGATGAGACAATAAGCACGTCTAAAATGATTAGCTGTATTAAAGAGGGAACGTAAAGAAATATTTAGCAAGCAGTGTCTACCTTTTCAGTGCGCCTGAGTTCACTTTTTCCATGATTTCGTGTTGTTCACTCTTTAGATTTATTTGTGTCGTTATGGTTTTCCCAGACTGTTGCTCTTGCAATCGTCTTGTTTTTTTAACATTAAAAGAGCAAAATATTATGACAACAATCTGTGGAAAAAATAGGGTGAAATCGTGAAATTCAAATGATTTCTACAATGTCGGTTTTTCAAATTAATGGAACAGAAGTTTAAATATGTTCTAATCTCTCAAATCGATTGAGAAGACAAATCAACATTAACAGTACCAATTTTACTGCACCAAACGATGGTTTTGAACATTATTTATTGTGATCACTGACACATATTCTCATTTTCCAAAGTATAGGAATGTGCTAATAAACCTTTCAACATTATCCATTTAAGTACCCCAAACATCCTCTTGTTTAACAAAAATTGTAGTTAATAAAATTTTCAACCTTTTTATTTTATTTATACCTGTAGTGTTTTTTTATTAACATGGCCTACTTTATGTACGTTTGGTGCCATTCCTATTATTATATGTTATAATATATTGGTTTGTGAGAAAAATCAGGGTGCTATACTTTTTTCTAGGTGTTTATATCAAGTATTTATTATTCTGTTGCAGATGCTGTCTTTTCTGCGATTCCTTGTTTAACATGGGAAATGACTCTTGGTAAACTGGATATCATATGCCGACTTGACAATGTCGTTTTACCCGTTTCAATTTATGATACGTTTGAGCAAGAACAAGGAAAATGCGCATTCAAAGATTTTTCCGCAATATGTTCATCTGTAAATAATCTTACAAATATAACCGCCAGCTATTCAAAACGAGAATTCAAGTTATCAATTACAAACGTGACTAGAAGCCTTGCCAAAGGAGAATGGAGTTGTATCCAGGGAACACACACCTTCAAAACTCTGATTTCTCCATTAGCAGGTTACATTCTCATTATATATTGTATACGCTACATGAATCATTATTTTAGTGATCACGTGTACAAGAAACATAGGTCTTTTGCTAATCATCAATCCTTTTAACGCTATAAGCGGATGTGCCTTTTTCATTAAAATAGAAAGGATATATCAAAGGGGGCAATCAAAATCATAAGTCGAATAAAAACAGACCAAACCATGTCCAAAAATAAAAACGGTGAAAGGACAAACATCAATAAAAAAAAGACATTACACAAACAACTAAAGACATCATGAACCCCAAAATAAACCAGGGATGATCTCAAGTGCTCCAGAAGGGTAGATGGTTCATGTTTTACTAATGCCATCCATCGAGGATGATCTTGTGCTCATTCAAAGTAAAAGAACCTTTGAAATTATTGATTATTTAATCTTTACATAAATAGAAAGAACTTTAGAAATTATCCTCATTATTTGTGTCCAACCGTCACGTATATTTCCAGCGTAGTATTTTGGTTTCGCAAGATGAGCATTATTTGGTATATGATATTAAACAGTTACTGCACTTTTTAAACTCACCCTGTTTTCGCTTTTCTTTGTAAGAGGTGTCCTCCTACCCGAATCTTGCTTTATCTTGTTATAACTAATCTTTTCTTGCCGTAAAATATATTGACAAAATTACTTTTCCAAATTGTTCGTGACATCTTCAGTATGAAGGAAATAAATTTGACCGAGGCAATCCGGAGATCCTATAATGGAGTCTTTCCTTTCTGTTTTGACATAAAAGATTTTTAATTGGTAGTCATAAACAGCAAATTATAGACACCTAGGGTATTCTGATTTGAGTCATTTGTTTCCCGAAAGGAACTAAAGGTCATGTTCTAACTTTAGACGTATTGCTTGATATTGCCACTTCTTAGAAACCGTAACTGATTTGTACCAAAATATAAGTTGTGATAAGTCGTAACTTAAACATTTTGCTCGAAATGGTAAGGTGAAATTGTTTTCCTCGAATGTTTAAAATACGTTTTGTGGGGATATCACTCATAAAAAAATAATGTCTTTTCTATGTATGATCTTTGAAATTGACGCTCTAGATTTGTATCCTATAACTTTATACCAGTACACAAAAACGCCATAAGTTCTTTTGTGTTAGAAGTCATATGACATTGAAAAAGATCAACAAGAACTGACCTTCAGTAAACTGAAAGTAGCAATGTCTGCCTTTAATTCATACAAAGTACTATATATCAAGTATTTTAGAAAAAGCATGAAATTACCTATATTATACGAATTCGGGACAGACACCTTGAATCCGGATGTAGCATATTATCTGGCTTATTTTAACCAAAAATATATAGATATATGGCATTCCAAATACCGTTTCGATTCCTAACATCACTAAAGAGACATTAATTGTCGAAATCCGGATATGGTGTACTAATTTTGGCACCTTTTGTTTGCGGTATACCATCTTTCCGCTAGTTTATTGTTTTCTGTTTGGTATTAAATTAATAATTTTAAAAGATCCATTTTGTAACATCTTGTGATCCGTTTATTTAGCAATCGCCAATGGCAGTCAGCAGGGTTTAAGAACATCTGTTGTTCGACTTGTTAGTCAAATGCGTTTTGTTAAAATATACTTTTTCACTTTTTAGGTCTTTTGGAAAATGTTGTTTGTGCTGTATTAAGACCCCTCTATCAAGGAATTTGTTTTGCATGCACGCGTATAAAAATTACGGGTTTTATCTAACACAATCATAGGTTTGAACGTTGTTTTCAATTTAGACTTGTAGATATCATATATATAAATATATATATATCTCATTAAATTAAGCTACTATTTGACATTTCGATTACGAATCAAGCTTCTACCATTTCCGCTTAAATCTAGCCTTTGAAAAAAAACTGAAACCCCCTATTCAAATAGGTTTGACTGTAAGTATGAGCATGTTTATATTTATTATCGTCATTATTTTTTTATATTTCCCCCATAGTTATCTGTATTATAAGTGGTCGTATTTTTATTCGGATTTGGAGTCCGACAGTTTTTATATGTATCTATAGATAAAGGCGTAAGCTAATGTACTTACTTAAACACCAACATAGGAAGTATAGTAGAGACGGTCGACTCTGAAAAAAATTGTTTCGATATTTTGGCTGTGTTCTAACAAGATTTCCTCTTAAAATTTTCCAAATCATTGGTCAGCTCCGTACTTATAAATACGACTAAATACCTGTAAATTTAACAATCAATAAATACACCGTTCCTGATAGATCACAATACGCTTATCAAAGAGCAGTTTAAAGCTGTAATACCAGGACATTGGTTATTGGTATTGCGTGTAGTTGGTATTACTATGACTGAATGCAAACGCTCTTATATATAGAAGATATCATGGAAAACCATCAGCCCTTGATAAACAAAATGAAAGAAGGAACAAATGAAACAAGATCTAATTATAAAAGACAAACAGAGAACTTGTTGGGATGGACTTGGTTTTTTATTAGTTGAAATTGGGCTTTTAAATAGCTTTCTAAATTGCGAGTTCTCTTAGAATGAGACTTAAAGTCTTCTGATTGTTCGTCATTTTTTATTGTGCTAATTGAGGTAAAGCATCATTCCTTTTGATGTTTACAGTTTCTTCTCAAGTTGTACTATTTACCACTGTCCATTGCACAAACATTTTAAACCCGCCACATGTTTTATGTGTCTTTGCGAAGCCAGAAATCTGTTATCCAGTGGTTGTTGTTTGTTGCTGTTTAAAAATATTTGTTTTATTGTTCAGACCGTTGGTTTACTCTGTGGAATTATTTCACATTTTGTCATAACGAGGTTTTCTGTTAATTGTGATATAAACTGGTTATTTTCATAATCTTTTAAAATTGAAGTAATATATACATCCAATGGAATAACAAATTTACTATTCCTTGACCTCGATGTTATAGAAGATATATAACCTTGTCTTGTTGCTGATATAAACTCCATCTGTTAGTGCTGTTTTGTGTAATACAATTAAAATGAAATTAGAATCACACTTAACAGAATTGTTCAGTTCCGTCTCCTTTATATAAGAAAGTCATGCTGAAATTAAGGTCTGATAGCGTAAATTACTATAACATGTGGATTTCAAATATGCTAAAGTTTTCAATACGGAAATAGTGAAAACATTCTGTTAGTAACCAATAGATGTTCTAAATTTATTTATTATGAATAGGAATTATTTCGTCAACGGAAGTTGTCTTGACTGGGAACATAAGCCGGCATCAAAGCAGTATGAAAACAGTTAATTTGTCGTGTTTTTCCTGTCGAGAACCTCATGGAAATCATGTAGAATTTCTTATCAACCATCATTCTGTAGACAACGTAAGATATGACCATGTCACTAAAAGATGTTTACACAAAGATGGTGAATGCAGACCTGATCATTGTTCATGTTCAAACAGTGGAAACCTGTTTTATTATACATTCGAATTTACTGATAAAACTACGGAAATCAGTTTCACATGTGGCATGAGATTTGTAGATAAATTATTAACAACAAGATTTTCAAAGTTTTCAAGTGTGATTTACAATGGGAAAGGTAAGATACCTATAAAACATTACCAAGTTGAAAGTACTGTAGGGAATAATGTAACTTTAAACTGCATGATCTTATTTATGTGTTATTATTTACAATTGTAATCAATGTTCATTACATAGTTTAATGGAAATCAAACAAAAATAAATAGATATAGAATATATGACATGCAGCCAATAACACAAATTTCGCATTAATTTAATTCATCTTGAGACGCAAAATTGCCAAATTATTATATGCATACTAGTCCAAAATGAAACGTACCATAAACATTTTATGAAATTATCATTGCTTCATAAACTACAAATTGAAAAGATGGCGACCAAATCATTGTATGTCACCTAATAGGTGGATCAGAAAAAGCTGGAACATACATACCGCTATAACATATCAGTATTGTGCTCCGATGAACATTTGATCATTGTTGCATTCTTTGAGAGCCTCCAGACTCAAGAAGTCAAACTGCGAGTCTACTTTAGACATAGAGATATGTCATCTGGATGTTGCCAACTGAATGCATTTGATTAGTTGCATAACTAACTTTTAATACTTTTGATATGGTATCTTTTTAGAGTCATTATTTTTGTCTCTCTTAATTTCAGTGTAATGAATTTACCGATAATTTGTTACAGGCACTTTCTTAATTTAGGCATTTTCTAAAATGATTGTAAGATTAAGGCATTATATAACACCGTGTAGAACGCCACATGCGAGGTGTTGGCTATTTGTGACACGGGATGGTGTTTTTGAAGCGGAGGAGGTAAGTAAATGTATCAAAAGTTCATTTTTGAGAATTATTAGCACCAAATAATGTATTGCACGGACGAAACCGAACCATAATCTATTTCCATCAAGCAGAAACAGACTTTTGGCATTTTTTCCCGTATGACTTATATTGAAATGATTGCCATCATAGAATTTAACCAAATGCCAGCTTCTTAGTCAAAACTATATTGGTTGAAAAGTTACTTTTTCCAACAAGTAAAAGAAGAAAGGAAATATTGTATAATGGAAATTTGTTTTCTTTTATAATTAATTTGGACACATGAAAGAAAATCAGTCGTCAGATTATGTTCTTCTTATAGCGTTATAAATATAAATGTAAATATAGATGCCGGTAAGTATTTCTGTGAGTGAATACGCGACTTCGTTTAGGAGTTAGTCCATTTTACGGAGTGCACGTGTGCTTTTCATATAAAACTGGTGAAGAAATTTGATGAAGTTTATGTGTTGGTGCTTCGGCTTCGATCAAATCTTGTACGGATCGGAGGTCTGCTCATCATTTGAGTTTGTTCCATGTTTTGGTGCATTAAGCAATAGCCGTGACTTCTTCCTGGCCATTATAGTAACTGAAAAGCAAACAAATCATGTTAAGTTTATAAAACAAAACACTTCGAGGGTTTTTCTCTGTTTCTAACATTAAAAGAACATCACTCAAAAAAAGTAAAAGCAAAATAAAATAATTCAAGCTTGTGATGACTCATCTTGACAGAGTAGGTGTGTTTATAGTACAAACTATCAGATAAAGACTGAATTATAGGCAAATCTATCCTAATCAATGCCTCAACCCCGTGAGCTGCAAAATATAATACCCTGCACGACTCATTTCGATGCAAAATAAATTTTAAACCAACACATTTTGACTACGAAGCTGGCATTTGGTTAAATTCTATGATAGGAAGTCATTTTTATATAAATCTAGGGTGAGGTGTTTTAGAAAAAGGAGCACTGGAAACGTCTGCTTCTGCTTGAAATAGATTATGATTCCGTTCTTTCTGTGCAATACATTATTTGGTGCTAACAATTCTCAAAAAAGAAATTTTTATACATTTATTTACGTTGATCGCATTTTCTCCACTTCAAAAACGCCACCGCGTGTTTAACATAGCCAACACCCCACATGTGGCGTTCTACACGGTGCATATAATGACTAACTTTTTCATGCATTTTGTAAAATGCCTAAAAGAATTGAAAGACATTTTACAAAAGGCCAGAATTTATTTCATAAAATAACATGTTCACATAAACTGAGCCATTGAAGGTATTGAACATCAATCATTAATAACCGGGTTTTAAACAGTTAAAAAATTAGATTTACTGAATTTAAAAAATTTCCACGAGCACTGAACTCAACAATCATTTGTTATTTAATATATATTGATGGCAGGTTTGCTTCACATTTGTTCTGGTTTTATTTTGCGAATATATCGCTTTGCGTTAAATTTGTCTTAGCACTTCAACCACATTGGGTGGGACCCAAACCATGACACATACTGCACTTTACTGAAAATTGCACTGTCTAAACTTTTTTTCTGATAAACACTAAGCGTTCGAAAATAAAATTAATATATTATTGTTCATGTTTTCCCGAAAGATTCCAAATAACATTAGCATGATAAGGTTGTTCTAGATCTTTCGGCTTATTAGAGCATTCGGGCTAAAGAAGATCTTCGCATGGCAAATGATACATGCATAGCAAAAAACATCTACCCTTTCAACTTGTCGGGTCTTGCTCGTGTGGAGTTCATTAGATTTTCTCAGTTCTTGTTTCACTGTTACCTTGATTTGTCTCCTCTTGGTCGATTTTCGAGATTTTAACATTAAAAACTTATTGTTCCTTTAATTCATCAGATTGCAAAGATCCAATAATTCTATCGAGGCAGTGAATATGAAAGAAACGCATATCTTTACATCACAACCAAAGACAGCCTTGAATAGTGAAACCCATATTATTAAGTAAATCTGTTTAAATGTGCAGTATGTACAAATTTGCATTCTTTCCGAAAGGGGATATTGAATCTGTTGGCTGGTGTAAAAAAAGTTCAATGCTCTCCATTTCTGTCCTTATCCAACATACATTCAAGCAGCTATTGACATTCCTGTCTTTAATCCAGTTCAATTCATTGTACAATTTGTCTTTTTGACTGATTATCAATTTGTTCTCGTCCTAAATATTCATGAAATATTTGCTTCTGAACACTAAAAACAACAATCAGTTAATTAAAATATATAATTCTTTTTCTCAGCTTCATATAACACACTTCTGTTATGATTCTAGATTTTCTAAAAAGTAATCGTTTGTAAGTTTTACTATTTAGTTATATGAAAAAATATTTATGATGTGATAAGAACAAAAACGCAATATTTCGGTCAACAAAATTCCTCATTGGGCTTGCATCTACCCAGGTAAAATTGGATGCAGATAAGAAACTTTTGCATCTTGCCGTACATTTTGGTCAATAAGATATTTTGTGCTGCGTTAAACATTTGATTTCAAACGATTGTGTGCTTGATTAAAGACATGTGTTGTTGAAGTAGGGTAAGTTTGCAACGTCCATTGGTAACTATTACAGACATATAAAGGACGATGCCACGTAATGTCACCTAAAAGACAAAAAGGCCAGAAATATGAACGTGTATTTTGACAACTGCTTTTTAATGTACAGGTTTATTTATATTCAAAATAAAATAAATTCCTTACATATTACATATTTATGAAATATAAGCACTTTACAGTTTGCCTACAATTTCATGCATTTTGGCAATTCTCATGCGAATGTTCATGGCTACGTCGTCATTTACAACGTGTTATTACATTATAATATTTCTCTCTCTCTCTCTCTCTCTCTCTCTCTCTCTCTCTCTCTCTCTCTCTCTCATCAATAATCAGTGCATTTTTATCCACAGAATTTAAAAGTAATGGATCTGAAACTGAAATAACTAAAGATCCCGTGAACAATGGTTTTAACCATAGTGGATCCGACAATAAGACAGGTAAGCCGTAAAATTATTATTTTTTGACAATTATTTATGGCTCAAACATAGGATAACCTTTTACTTAACTTTGCTTGTGTGGGTGTTTTAAGGTAAATAGTTAGTCAATTAAATTGATACTTAATGTAGTCTACACGTAGTTTTATGAAATTGTCTTAAAACTAGACACGCTGTTACACAAATTCTGGATTAATTCTGATAACATCCAACGCAATTTTGGAGGATTAAGATTTCCAAAAAGCAGATTAAAATGTCAAGTAATAAGACTATATGTAAATTTGTAAGTGATTAAACTAATCATATTATTTGCTGAAAAACAAAACAACAAACGTACTGCAAAATGAAACACAATACAAAATATGCTCCAACATTATATGACTATAACATTCTTTATTTCTTTATTGATTTTTCTTTAAATTGTCAAAGGTTCTTCAGACATGACATAAATATTCACTCTGCTAGAGTATTCAAAATCTTTAAGGATCCTCTAATACCAGACCATTGTATACATTCAGCAGGATATCGGACTTCCAATAATTATCGTTTACCATTCAAACATATTAGTTAAGAAAAATTATAGACTTTACTTCAGAGCGTTATGGGTAGAAAAAAAACTCAATATAAACGAAACTGTATAAATACATCTAGTCAGATTTGAATTGATTTCTTGAAACTGGTGTCTACACAATCCTGTCCTGGCTCTTTCGTGCAGACATTACGTCTGCAACCAAAATATAGTACTGACATATGTGAAAATTCAGGAACTGCTCTTGCGAACGTATTACATAACTCTTTTAAAGTTATAATAGTGTACCTACGTATTGATACACATGATCTTCACAAAAGACCAGCTCATCATATCAAACAAAAAATTCGTGCAACCACCGATAAAGTTTCAGCTGCAATCTAACTTCAATTATAAAAGTAAGGAAATTAGGTATGATTGCCAATGAGACAATTATCAACCTGAGTTCAAATGAAGTGGGTTCAGCAACTTTTAGTTATCGTACGGCTTTCGAAAATGGCCAAAACCAAAACTGTATACTGTAAACCAACTTATCAAATGATATGAGAAAATCAGACTTAATACGGATAAATCAGCATGTGCAATACTTATGACGTTGCCCTGTCGAAATATAAATCAAGAGTTAATATTGCTTTTCGGACCGGGATAATTCGGAAAAAGCCGTATTGGTCCATGGGCTAATACGGGACGTTCATTTCCGGTTTCAATTTTCACTTAAGTCTAAGCTTACTTAACTTTGGACGTATCGTTATGCATAAAATACATATGTATCATATTTTTTAACTTAATATCATAAAAAAAGTTACAATGATGTTCAGTGTTTTGTAACGTCTTGAAACGGAAATATTTCACAGCCTTTTCGAGTACGACTTTCTCTTATTATCATTGTTTCATTTCCTTTGGTCAATCATCAGAACGCAGACGATTCAAGATTAAGAATAGTTAACCTGTCTGATTTATTCTTCCCAGCTACTTTATATTTGCTAGAAAAAATTGAATTGCAATAGCTTACTATTAAGTATTTGGACGAGAAATAACAGACCGGACATCTGTTATTTCATCTGACAATGTTGACAAAAAATGCATCGTGAATGCGAAAAGACAAGTTCCGATATTAATTTCTGTATCTTCTTCACGGTAAGTTTCTTTGTTTAATCGAATTAAAATAATTTGATAAAAGTGTTATGAACTGGCTGTTTCTGTATTCGAGTCTCGGATCAAATACAGCTAACCTAGAATCTATAACAGGTTCAATACAGGAACAGCCAGTTAATAACACTATAGTATTATCGCGGATACATTAATTAGCTTTTAGACCTTTCTAAAAGATAAGATAATGAACGGCCTGTTTAAAGATAACCCAATAAACGAAAAGCGAACATGACAGACAGCAACTAATGACAACCAATTAATTACAGGCTCCTGACTTTTGAAAAGCACATAAATATCTATTTAGGTTTTAACATGTTTCAGAATGCTCAACTTTCCTCCAGGTCTGAGATAGTTTTGTAACAGTACAATATAAAATCAAAGTATAAAACATAGTTGACGTTTTGGATTTCAATGAGCAAAATATATGTATTACTGGTAAATTATTGAGTCAGAGATTTCATTACTACAAATTACGTACAACATTTACTAAATTCTTCCATAGATACAAAGATTTGGTTTGTAAGTTCGGCTGTTTCCAACGGGGCAGTGCATCCTAATCTTTACGGAATTGTTGTTTACCGAGCCCGGGAATTTCGATACGATCCGGGTAAACTTATCAATCCTTTAAATAAACTTATTCTAAAAAAGGTTACCAATTCAACACTGTAATTAGATCTTCAAATGTTGTTTTTATAGTATAAATATTGATTTTGTTATCAGTAAATTAACAAAAAACTAATATTATTGGTATATACACATACACATGCACATTTACGGTTCCACAATCTGTCGATACCTGTATTTTGGCATTGCACAAAGTCATGTTTTTCTCTGACTGTTAATGACGTCTTTACACTAAATCCATTGGATGTTGGATGTGTACTGATTGATATTTTAGTCTTAGATACATGATTTATTATTATTAGTTGCTATTGTATTTGAACTAGCTGTCAATAATTGCGAATACTCTCAGATCTGTACTTAGTGTCTTTTTGGTGTAGGGATGTATAAATCCCCTGTAAAGGGTTGAATATAGGGCTTAATGTAAAAATGAAACATAAAAGGTAGTGTTCATTGGAAAATTCGGTGTAGAAATAAGATCTTTCATTGTTTCTGTTTAATAAATTTCCAATTTGTTTTGAATTGAGAAGATTTAGAATTTGGCTTATCTGATTATTAACTGTAGGCTGTCCTCTTTATGTTTTGTTATTTTTGTGTCGTATGATTGTCTTCTGACATATACCCTAAATGTTCTGTCACTCAGGTGCAAACTGGCAATATGCATTTCTTGATTTAGCAGGTGAGTTAAATATGATCTTCAAGAATCCATTGAAATTGAATACTTGATGAAGTATTAGCTATCAGTAGATCCTATCAAAAAGTTATGAAGGCATGCATTTTTAAATTAATTTCCCTAGTTTGAAAATCATAAAAAGATTAATGTTGATATAAAAATAACGAAGAAAAAGTGGGAGGTATATTGTGTGCAAACAAATATCACCATATTGTGAATTTTTTTATCATACTGCTTTATTTTTTAGATAACAGACCTAATTCACCAGTTAAAGAGGATGCCGATTTCATCAGTATGTAAACCACTCCTTAACTTAATGACAGTATATTTTTGTAATTTTTTTGCTGTTAATTTTTCAGTCTAAACAGCTAGTATAAGTATTCTAAGCAATAAATGTAGATTGACCTGGGTTTAATTTGCATTAGTTTTTATCCGTTACATAATTTTATTATTTTCTTCTGTTAGTAGAAGAGAGGCGAAAGATACCAAAGGGACATTCAAACCGATGAGTTGAAAACAAACTTACGATGCTATGTCAAAAAAGAAAAACGACGAAAAGACAAACAACAGTACACAAAACCCAACACAGAAAACTAAAGACTGAGCAACCCGAAACCGACCAAAAACTGCGGGTGATTTTATTGCTCCGAACGGGTAGGTTTACCATGCGCCAAAAGTGGCACCCGTTGTGTTGCTCATGTAAGTTAAAACCGGGTAATAAGTCTTATTCGGTGGATCACATTCGAGGAAAAGAGGACGAGATTGTGATTACAACTGGAACATATCCATCGTAATCTGTGAAACAGATTTTTCATAACGGTCAACCAAATCGTGATGGCATACGCAAAGTTTTCGAAGGGATAATTTTTACTTTCCCACTTGGAACCTTTGGTTCAATAGCTTCCTTGTAAGTAGCAACCCTCTATCAATGAAATCATAATATTGTTTGTTATCACATAGTTCACAAATACGAAGCTTATAGTTTACTAAATAGTACGTTATACGTCTACCTAAGATTAGTAACTGACGGTTGAATCAAAACAGTTAAAATTTCAAATCAAATACGATGTTGAAGAGCATTAAAAATGAAAGGTTTTGCCAAATCCAACTGAGGTCATCTAAGATTTCGGGTAAGATTTACAATATATGACCGCATCAACGATATATCATGTCAGCTAATGAGTGTTGAAACAAGGCTGGTTATACCATCTGGAAAGAATAGACTACGCGCAGTGACAGTGGCATTGTCGACGTCCCAGTTGTTATAAAATCATATACAAAATACCAGGTTCATATGATTAAGTATGCCATAGGTTTTGTTTAGTAGACATAATATCATTGATTTTTGATATCAATTAATTTTTGATTTACAGATAAAGTGATTAGTGCTTATCTAAACTTGAGATTTATCATCCTCAATTGTTATTTATGGGACTAAATCATCTAAAAACCTTAATTAGTGGGGTGCCAATTTACAATTCAAAATTTATATAACCTGACGAATACCCCCATATGTTGCCAACCACAAATTATTGTACATTGAAAGGCTTGTAGTCGATTTGAATGCTATTTCAGAATTTTCAACATTTGCCATTTATTTTCAAGAAACAGGACTGAAATGGGCTTTTGTAGGTGTGGCGGTGGTCTTACCCGTCCTTCTAACTGTGGTAATTGTCTGCTGCAGATTACATATTACGAGAAAGCGAAAAGGTATTATTGATATTTAAATAAGTAACTTTTCCAAAATTTGCAATTTATACTGCAAACTCATATAAGTTATATAACAAAACAATGACACAGTGATATTAGAATTGAGTCATTATCCAAGTGATTATCTAAACGAAATTGAAGGAGCAATATGTCAATATATGATGCAAAATATACATGCAGACAATTGAACCTAATTACAGCTTTCAGCGGAAATAATGATCAAGTCGTCTTAAAATGGTTTAGACATGGGTGTATTGAAGAGTTGTTGAGCCCTTTAACAATACTGTTAAAATTAAATATATTTGTCGATGAAACATTAAAGTCGATATTACATCTGATGTATTGCCAGGTGCTAAGCTGTAAGAATTAGGAATCATAGTAATGCATATTAAACAAATCTAAACAACTTGGATATTGCGAGAGGGATGTGCAAAATAAAGATAACTTTTGTTCTTGATTGTCAAACTAATAATTGACAACTGTAATTGTAAATTTACAAATGGTGTATTGTAGAATTGTTGTTACGAAAACGCAGTGGTGAAACAGCGGAACTAAATCCTCTTACTCAACCATTGTTAACAGGTATAAGGCAGTATATGTATTTATTGTTTATTTTCATCAAATGTTGAACCTTTTTATGGCATGCATATAACTTGGATGGAGAGTTGTCTCATTGGCACTCATACCACATCTTCTTATATCTATATATGTTTCATTCAAATGTTGGTATTTGTTCAAGATATATAAATCATAGATATATTCGAATTACGAATTCTGATTTTCCTGTCAGAGGTATAAATGGTCTTTACATCTTGCTATATTATAGCGTACCATGTATATGTTAAGTTTCAAAAATCCTTTATTTATTTTTATAATTATGCATGTTTTTCTGTCCAATACGTTTTATTTTAGACTTTTCATTTTCATCTGGGAACCCATTTCACAAACGGCATAAGTATTGGAATATCAGAAAAAACTTTAAATGTTTCCTGTTGCGCATAAAACCTTTTACCCTCTGTATGACCAATTCAACAAAAACTACACATAAAGATATATGTATTACTGTTATAAAGTGCTTTTCCTGTACTGATTTTATCGATGTTCTGTTTTTCATGTAAATTATTTTGTTCCACCGTTCGATATTCTAAAAGAGTAAATAGATTACATTTCTAGCAAATAAGTTAACACCTTCTAATGTGCATGTGCCTGTCCTGAGTCAAAAACCTCAACAAGTCTTTTTGGTAAAAGAAACCAAAAGTCCATATGTTTACAGCATCTGATTTCATTTTCACCTTTTTATCTAGGGTTTGCATTTCATATTTCCGTTGACAAGTTGAAAGATTGTAGTATGATTGATGTTTATATATCATCGGGGATAATACTTTTCTGTCTGAAATGGGTGTCCTAAATCAGACAAATGACTGCTTCTGTTCGGTTGTTTAAGAGTTCAATGAAATGTATTAATGTTTAAAAAATTTAAGCGGGGTAAACAGTGTTTTGATAAAAATCGATAGTACTAATCGTTTTCTTCAGCAAATTGCGTCGTTGACTGCATATGGTTTGCTTATGTTGTCTGTACTAGGTCAGTGCCAATTGTAATGCGTAACGTTTTTCGCAGATAATTTATTACACAATCTTGCAATGTATATCATTGTGATGGGATCAAGGTGGACGAATTCAATTGCTTTTGGTTTTGTTTTTTTTTTACATTTAAAAGACACGTTTACTGTTTTTTCTTGTTTTTAAATATCTGGTATATTCTTTTCTGTTGTACATGTACATGACTTAAAACTTTGAGAGGTTCATTCCGACAAAAAAGGCCAATAAACCAGTCAGCGTTCTTTTAATATATAATTTATTCAAACATCTTGATCAACTTTCAGGTAATAAAGATACAGAGCCTAAAGAACACAAAGACAATGTTGGTAAACTGGTGTTACTAATTGCAAATATTGCAAAGAAAGTTATAAAAAAAATAATTACTTGCACATTACTAACTAATGATCAAACATTGACGTCGTATCTGAAAAATGTGAATAATAAACATGCATTATTTCATGCATGGCATAACAATAAAAGATGTTGTCAATGCAAAACAGATGATAATGTTCAGAAGGAAAGTATGTTAACAAAACAACAATTTCATATCATGTTTAATAACAGCGGGTCAGTTCCACAAAGCCATCAACACATTAAATACAGCAAGATATATTGCTTTTACAATATTGAAGTCAATGAAAACGTGTCTCTAGATGTGTTAGATGTAAGTGTGGCCACTTGTTTACTAGTTTGCGGTTGCACTCCCGAAATAGTGCCGGAGTTGACCGACAGACAATCAATTTTAGACTCGATGAAGAATATCAAAGATAAACGAAATGAAATTTTTCATATGACAGCTTTAAAACACCTATCAGATGATGAATTCACGGATAAATGGCAGAAGATTCGGATACCTGTAGTTAAACTGGCTTCTGTGATAAATTCTCACTTCCATAATGAAATAAAGGGAGAAATAAATGTTTTGAAAAATGAAAATTTAGAAGATACTACAGCATATTCAGAGAAGTTGACTGGATTGTTGATGCAGTCTAAACAAGATATGGATCTGAAGATTAATGTAAGTTAAAACGGTTTTGTAAATAACTTAGTTTACTTATTTAGAGAATAATTTTGGTGAAGAGTAGGAAAAAAAACTATCATGAGTCAAAAAATACAAGAAAGAGTTTGTTTAAATTTAAAAACAAAACCCAATATCGGTATTTATTAGAGATCATTCAAATAAAAAAATTCTAAAAACCCTGTCACCTGCATCCATAACCTTGTGACATTTCCAACAATATACAGCAGTACTGTTAGTAACGTTTAGTTTATTCTTACATCCATTTCCATTTTGTCAATGATATTTTTTAAATTATTGTGTCACTCATTATAAATACTATATTAGTTTTATAGTTACTAATGAAACCCAGTCACAATTATAAACACTTCCTATATATAAAGGTCTACCTACTATAATGCCACCATCTTCATCATGATCCATTTGAATAGTGAAATATTCATTTTATAGATGTCCACGTGTTCCATTTGTAACAGAATTAAAGTCGCTTTCTTTTTTTCCTTTATGACATCACCGAATTATTACTAAATGTTCTGTTCTTGTTATGAGAACACCACGTTAGCCGTTATTGAAGCAGGAATTGAAATCCTTCTGGCTTATCTTAAAAGTATAAGAAGATGTTGTATGATTGCCAATGAGAAAACTCTCCACCAACTGACATAGAAGTTAACAGCTATAGGTCACCATACGGCCTTCAACAATGAGCTAAACCCATTCTGCATAGTAAGCTATACAAGACCCCGAAATGACAAATGTAAAACAATTCATACTTGAAAGCTAACGGCCTGATCTCGGTACAAAACAATAAAGGAAAAAAAACAGTTTGATATACAGCAACAACCGATTACCACTGAATTACAGGCTCCTGACTTGGGACAGGCACATATAAAATTTAGCGGGGTTAAACTTGTTTTCTGGCGCCAAACCCATCCCCTTTACCTGGGACAGTGCTGTAGCAGAGCTATATAAGAACCAAAAGGCTTAACTCACCAGATCGATACAAATCACATAAAAACCCTAACAAAAACACTTTAGACAAAAAGTACAGATCTGATAATACTCACAGTTATTGAAAGCTAGTTCAAAGCCAATAAAAACTAATAAAAAATCATTTGTCTAAGACTAAAATGTTATTAATTCTTTCGGGTTTTAAACGCAGAAAGGGTATACTAATGTATGGGTTACTTTTCGAAACCCGGCAATAAGAATCAATTGTTTCCTTATGTATGATAATATACTCGAACCTAGTTATGGCGATCCATTGGCTGGGTATCATCAGGCGAATGTTCGTCCGTTACGCCTACTTTTTACGTTGTGTTTGCAATTGACATTTCAAACCATAGGGTCACCAAAGGATATAAAACGCTTAAAACAAATATTTCCAAGAAATTCTACAAGAGCAAACCTTGCATTTTTATAAGCATTGCATATTTAAAATTCTTTACTAGCATGTTAGTTAAGTTTTGAACTACAAATTCTTTGTGATATGCACGTTCTTGTGAAATAGAAAAGAAAATTATCTAGTTTTTAAGTAGTTATGCATGTGTTCATACTTTCAGTTTTCGGACTTCAAAGCGATTTTACAATTCTCGTTTCCTAAAATTTCAACTGCTCTTTCAAAGTATATCTAGTCTGAAAATTTGTTTTAGAACGCTTACATATCATGTATCCAAGTGAACTTGAGATTATGGATACTACCAAAATTAGAAGGTCTGTTTCATATCTTGATCTTTTCCTAGATATTGACAAATGACCTACTTCAAACTAGAATTTCTAACAAACGTGATGATTTCAACTTTCAAATTGTCAACTTTTCATTACTCAGCATAACCTCCGCTCATCTTACAGGGTTTACATATTTCAATTAATACATTTCACCTGAGCATGTTCACGCTACACGGATTTCATAAACAAGGTTGCGATCTATACAAAAAAGAAACTGCTTCAACAGAGTTGTGAAGAAGAACGACTGAAATTGATACTACATATATATGTTTTATGGTCACAATCACAAAATAGTTGACCGATACGACGTGTCGATGTCTCAACTGACTGGCGACATGTTTTCACGGTCTTAGATCTCTAGATACCAGTAAAGTTGTCTGTAATTTTACCGAGATTGTTCTATACCTTATTGTGACATTTTGGATGACTGTGTATTCGCAAGGAGAATGGTGCATTGGGGTTAATTCGGTTTCCTCAATTTTTCTTTGTTACCTTAATTTGTCCCTTTGTAATCGATTGATAAGATCTGAACATCGGTATACTTCTGTCGCCTTAATGTATACGGGTAATATCTAAAATACTTAACTTATTACAATGTATTAGACATAAATCTTCTCTCTTTTTACTTTTACTTTTGTTATAATAAATTGTTATTTTTCTTATTTAACAGCAACTATGTGAAGAAAGGTTTATGGCTAAGTTAGGGGAAGCTAACAAGGGCATCGAACGTATTCGAAAAAGAGGTAATATTTTATTGATAAATACAATATTTAACTTCACACAATCGAGATGGTAGACGTGTCTTTCAGTTAAGAAGAACGCATGTTACATTGTGATGTGAAATTAAAATGTGATTTATAAAAAATTAGATTAGATAAAAGATAATTGTTGTGTTTCCCCTTCCTCCCCCAATATTTCATTTATGGTGTATTTGATATCAATTTAAAGCCAATTGTTTCAATCTAAATCTTTTTGTTTCTTGAGCGTTCAAGGTCTATAATAAATCGTTCTTTGCCGTGCATCCTTTCAAAATTTTTGTCTGGATTGTTGTCTTCTGTTTATAAAGTCTTGTTATCATCATTTAAACATCGTATCCTCTATTTATTTTTCTTTGGCAGTAGAAATTTTAATATAGTTTATTTTTTTTCAGAAAGGACTGTTTTTACAAAGTTTGGCGACATTTCTATAAATATTGTGCAATATCCAGATGTAAAGGTGGAAGATTATCCAGGTTAGAAAGACTTGAATGTGTTGTTTTATTATTAATATAGGAGTTTCAATTGAATATGTACGATACATTAATATATTTTTAAAGAGACACACTGTGTACAAAAATAATCGTCGTTACAAAGCAATAGTGTTTTAAAAAATCAAATTTTTAAATCGGTATTTCTAAAAAAAAACACTTAACCACGATAACGTCATTAAACTGTGATCATTGCTTCTCATGTCTACCTTTGTCGGAAAAAAGACAACTGATTTGTTTACAAGTGAAAATTTGCCTTGTCTAAAAAAACGGTGTCCTTTTGGGGACCCACTGCTGAGTAAAATTGAAATACTGTATAACATATGACTGAATTTCAATCAATGAAGAATCTATTTTCATCGTGTTCTATATATTTAGAGATAATAATTTTGTTATTCTTCATACCTGTTTAAATTCTTGTTCTACTGACTTTTGGTTAAATAAATGTGCTTATATTATATTATACAAATAGTATTTAATGACGCGCTGAAGTTATCTATTTGCTTACCTTTATCGCGATTGACATTAGATATAGACAGCAATAGTCTTACGCTTGCACCGATAAATTTGATGTGGGTAGAAAAGAAGACTTAATTAAACTAGGAACGCAGAAATAAATTTCGCCTGATCGTATGCAAATTCTATGAAGCAATATCATACACTGATACATTACTGCAAATGTGTATCAATTGTAACTTTTAAACTCTTTAGAGTTTTACTGAAATGTGGAAACAATATCGGGTTGTTGTCCGTAGCGGCTTTTGCTAATAACTTAAAATATTCTCAAGCTAGATAAAAATTAGCTTGCGAACAATAAAAACGCGGGATTCGTATCATTAACCCGACAATTTGAAAACTGATTAAATGTCAATATCCAAGAACTTATACACTCTGAGTTTTCGCTTGTTTTGATTTGAGCAATGAAGGTAAAAACGCTTAATACGCACAAATTTATATATCATAATTTGCATTTCAATTAAAAAAAAGAATATCAGCGGTATTAAATTTTTAAACACACACACACACATTTAAAAAAAATATCTAATTATTGATTCCAACATTAGCATTTTTACAGCCCTACTTACTTGTTCATTACTCGATTCGGGAGTTACTATGTAATGAGAGGTAGGGATGGGTCGCAGGAATATGTCACTTCATGTTTACGTTTCTCGTTTTTTATATAGATTCGACCGTTGGTTTTCCTGTTTGAATGGTTTTACACTCGTCGTTTTTGGAGCCCTTTATAGCTTGCTGTTCTGTGTGAGCCAAGGCTCCGTGTTGAAGGCCGTACTTTGACCTATAATGCTTTACTTTTACAAATTGTGACATGGATAGAGAGTTGTCTCATTGGCACTCATACCACATTTTCTTATATCTAGACAGGATTAAAATCTAATGTTGAATTCCCTTTCAATGTTTTTTTTTATAAATTGGACAAAAATAATAACCAAAACTATCTCTGATGTAAAATATTCATAATTTAAAATAAAAGGAAATTAGTTTCCAAGCTGTGTGTATGTTAATTAATTAAACTAAATATCTATACATTTTGGTAAAAGAAAACTTTTCAAATTACCGCTAATTTATTTTTTCAACGAAAGTAACGCAGCTTCAGAATGGCGGGCTTTTATATCAGTCCCATTGTTGTCTTTAGAAAAGTAGCAACAACGGTCGTTTCTAATGACTTCCTTTTCGACTGTAAAAGAATTAGAGAAAATTGTTGTTGCACCTTGAACAATATTACACGTGTTCACCTTGTATACATATACGGTTTTGATGTTTTATGCTTATGAATTTTTTCTGGTAATCATGTATTCCAACTTCATGATATATGATTAGGTTGAGAAATTTAGGTTAAATATATGATAAGGTTGCTTGTTATGTCATTAGTATCTGAAATGCTCAGTATTTTTTTTTTATTACAGAGCCAATTAAAACCAGACATAAATGCACCAGATAAGTGTATCCCAATATTATTAGGTTTTCTTTATTCCAGTCATATTACTTTCGATTTTGTTCTGATCTTCTGTTTTTTTTTCCATTTTTCCAAAGTTTGAATAATCTTAAGTAAAAAGGTGTCACTTTTGTATGATCAATATCTCGTGTATCATTAAAAGTAAAATAACAAAAATTCCAAGGACAATTCAAAACGGAAAGTCCCTTATCAAATTGCAAAATCAAAAGCGCAAACACATCAAACGAATGGAAAACAACTGTCATATTCCTGACTTGGTACAGGCATTTCCTTATGTAGAAAATGGTGAGTCTTTTGTAGACGAAACGCGCGTCTAGCGTACAAATCTTTAATCCTGGTATCTATATGAGGAATTTATTTAAACCTGGTTTTATAGATAACTAAACCACTCACTTGTTTGACAGTCGCATAGAATTCCATTATATTGACAACAATGTGTGAGCAAAACAAACAGACATAATTTTAAAAATGTCAAAAATTGGGGTACCCAGTCAACATTGTGTTATATTCATATAAAAGAAAATGAAATTGTGTTTGCCCATCATATGAAAGTTAAACCGATCAGTAACTTAATTTCCATTGCGGTATTTACATATTTGCGCTATAATCATAAGATAATTTAATGTATTTATATGAATTAAATGCAATATTTAAGTACTTCCTGTTGTAACCGAAGTCTAAAAATTTAAAACTAACTACTTTGAAATAAGCAGAAAATAAAGACAACGGTACTCTTTTTTATCTCTTTGTTTATTTTGAATCAATACTTCATTCTTTTGACAGATCGAAACACATTGGATGTTCTTTTGCGAGTTCAGGCACCTAATGAATGGAACGATGATGAAATAATGGAAATGATACGACAAATGGTAGATCAAATAAACAGTAGAGGAAATATAAAAATCAAAGAAACAACACTTGAAAACTTTATGTTAATAGTTGAAATGAAGATTGAAATATTAATCGAAGAGGAACCATTGAAAAGTGAAATAGAATATTTCTTCCGAATTATATGTCAGCTGTGTAATATTGATATTACTCAGCCAAACACTATAGAGGTCTCAATTGAAAACCTCTCACATACAAATAGTAAGTATCACTGACCTTTTGGATCTTTTATATGTTTCACCTTATTGAATTCGATACATATAGATTCTTTCATGGGTACAAGTGAAATATCGGATTTATCCAATTGAGATAGTTAAATTATCAAATTCTAAAGTCGGAGCCACGACGAGGACTTTAACATTCTATAATTTAACTATCGAGATTGGATAAATCCGATAATCCACGAGTAACTATGTATCAATCTGTTTCTCCATTGATTATCAAATAAATTTTCATATTTGTTAAACCAAAAGTCCGTTCGAGTGCCTCGTGACGTGAAATTCGTGATTTCTACGTCATACACTTACGAAATTAATGCGTAAACACTTCATTTATGCATCTCGGAATCAAATGGATTAATGAAATACCACTTCTAATCAAGGACATTGTATTTCGTGAACTATATATTCATATGTAATCGTAAACAATTTGAACAACAATTTTAAAGGTGGAACTATTTTCGCGTAGTAAAAGATAAAGGTAATGACCCTTTAACTTACCCAAATATCGAATGAGATCATCGTTGATCAAATCTTTTTAAACAATGGATTCAGAAAGCGTTAGAGTTGGAAAGCTAACCCCGGTTTGTCAAAATTTCTGAAGAAGCGGTTCCGATAGTAGATCACGAGATACGTGTGAACATAATAAAAATAATTAATTACCTTTTTACTAAATATAATTGATTATTTCTTGAAGATATATGTTAAACATTTAGGTAAACATATTTTATCCTTTTAAAACAGTTCCAGGAAATAGGGCTATATAATATATGCAGTTACCCTGGGACATAATATATTATTCTATGAGTTACGTTAATATTTTTAGTATATATTTTTACTGCCTAATGTAACAAAATAATACTAACACAGAAATAAATCTCTACTGCATAATGGTCAGAGGTAGCCAAAATATGCATAAATACTGGATCTAAACTAGATTTGTTTGCACCTCTCCTAAGTCAGGAACCTGATGTTCAGTGGTTGTCGTTTGTTGATGTGGTTCATAAGTGTTTCTCGTTTTTTATATAGATAAGAGCGTTGGTTTTCCTGTTTAAATTGTTTTACACTAGTCATTTTGAGGCCCTTTATAGCTTGCTGTTCGGTGTGAGCCAAGGCTCCGTGTTGAAGGCCGTACTTTGACCTATAATGCTTTACTTTTACAAATTGTGAAATGGGTAGAGAGTTGTCTCATTGGCACTCATACCACATCTTCTTATATCTAGACAGGATCAAAATCTCATATCTAATGTTGAATTCCCTTTCAATGTTTTTTTTTAATTGGACAAAAATAGTAACCAAAACTATCTCTGATGTAAAATATTCATAATTTAAAATAAAAGGAAATTAGTTTCCAAGCTGCGTGTATGTTAATTAATTAAACTAAATATCTATACATTTTGGTAAAAGAAAACTTTCCAAATTACCGCCAATTTATTTTTTCAACGAAAGTAACTCAGCTTCAGAATGGCGGGCTTTTATATCAGTCCCATTGTTGTATTTAGAAAAGTAGCAACAATGGTCGTTTCTAAGGACTTCTTTTTCGACTATAAAAGAATAAGAGAAAATCTTTTATGCACCTTGAACAATATTACACGTGTTCACCTTGTATACATATACGGTTTTGATGTTTTATGCTGATGAATTTTTTCTGGTATCTTGATTTGCTTTTTATTATATGCATTGCCGGGAAGAGAAGATGTACGTCGTTCACAGTGAGATCGTCATAACGTATTTCTATCATTACCAGTGATCAGTACCGTTGATGATTGAGTGTCTGTTTCCGAGAGTATCGTTTAAATAGTACATTTTGAAAATTAATATTCATCGAATAAACTATGTTTTTAAACTGTGAGAAAATAGCTATTTCTTCCGGTTATGATATCATAGAGGTTTTCGCTGAACCAGATAGATCTAATGCTCTTTGAGGGTTAAGGTAGTTTGCTTCCTAAAAGTTTTGTGTCAAGTGTACCTAATGAAGGTTATTCTAGAAACAAATGAATGTTTTCAATTATATGTTACCCACTAATAAACATACGTATTGACGTTGTTACTACACCTCCTTGTAGAGATTGTATGTATTATATTTATTGTTTTATACTGATTTAGAATGAAAAACATTCATATTGATTGATTTGCCTCGACATTATTGAGATAGGTATGCTCCCTTCATGTCGTACTGAAGAAACTCGTTTAAAATCTCTACCTTTACATAAGTTGTACGCATTCAAGGACAAGCTGAAAACAATATAGTTCAACTTTTGTCATAAAAATGGCCATTGCAGATACAGATATGTAATTTATAATGAGTTTTTTTTCTTTTTCAGAAAATCTTTCTAGCAATTTTCTGTATGGGTTTTTTTTTAAAAAACAAAGTTGCGATATTTCTGTTGAAGACGGTATTGTCTCACAAGAAAAATAAAAAAGCTAATACCATCATTTTAATAATGTTTAGCTTTGCGAAACATTTTTATCTTAACATGGGTTTTTATTTTGAAAGCATCTCTCTTATAAATCCTAAAATTAATAATACAAAGTAGAGATATGGCCACCCCCTTTTATACATTCATCTACGCCTTAAAATCGTTGAGAACTGCACTAAAAGTGGTACAATGCACTATATTCTAATTTGTTGTATTTTGCATATTTTTCACTGAATATAATCTTCGGACCCTAAAATTTTCCATGATTTAGTTTAGGTGGTCAACTTCCTTCCCTTTGAATGTGGGTTTAACGCTTTTTCCTTTTATATGACATACAACAATGTTAGTTCTGCAGTTATATCATGCGGGGATTGTTAGTCTGAATACAAGAAAGGCCTCACTGGGATCTCTACATTTATCTAATGTGTCATATTCCCTATCATGACATTTGACTAAGCTTCTTATGGCGCATTATGCATGTATAGCAAGAGACGCTTACTTTGACTAACTCGACACACCCGATCTCGCTCCATTTGGAGTTCCTGTGATTCTCTCAGTCATTTCCAATATGTTTGTATATTTAGAATGAATTAACGTGATTTGAACATTGATAAAATGCCACTGGCTCTTATTTTCATATTACATGATTATGCCCTTTGAGGAATACAGCTCAGACCCATTTAAATGTTCACTTGCATGGTCCCTCTAGCATTGTTAGCCAGTTCATGTATATGTGTTGACATCAAAAGTAAAATACCAATGCTTATGAATTACGATTATTTGTACGATTTTGTACACAAATTATTAGCAGTAATGCTGATTGAAAGACGTTTGCAAATGACTCACCCATATTGGCCATTATCCATATTAAAAGATGTTTTTTTTTTCGGAAATTTAACATTCTTACAAATGATTCAACATTTTGATAGCATATTTGAGCTTTAATTTCAGGTTACTCATTAGACGAAAGACCATCTGAAGTTGAACTTGTTTTTATAAGGAGTTTTGTTGTTCAAAAAGGAAAAGATGCTTTCTTTACCAGTTGTGCAGTATGGTCGGACAATCATTATATTCTCATTGATCGGAACAATGCGCTTCTTTTGATGTACAATCACAACACTGGTGATATTCAATCGGAGGATCTGAGGAACGAACCATTTAGTATGGCGATTATTGAAAACAACAACGTAGCCATTTCATTCCCAGAAAGACAGGAGATTGCTATTTATTCGTTAAGCACCAGCAACAAATTTAAATTTAAAGAGGTTATAAAAGTCGACGGTAAATGTTTTACACTTACGAAGAAAGACGACGAAACATTGCTTGTTTATATAGATGGCAAAGGAATACATTCTTTTAACATGTCAAAAAAAGAATTTAAATCCCTCGACATACAAATTCCATCTTTTGTCCCGCATTCTGACGAAATTTGTGCTCGAAACAACCGTCTTTATCATACTAGCCGCTCCAGTAGCTCTGTATTCTGTTATGATATGAACGGTAGTAAGTTGTGGAATTTTAAAGGAGTTTTAAAAAGACCTACGGCATTGACATGCGATAAATTTGGAAATGTTTATGTTACTGATTATACGTCTCACCATCTGTATTTCATTTCTGCTGATGGTCAGTCATGCAAAACATTGTTAGGTAGAAAAGACCAGCTGTGGTATCCAACCTTTGTTTATTATTGTATGAAAAGAAATTGTTTGTTAATAGTTAATAGGGACAACGGGGACGCTGCAAGTTACAGTATTAAGTATAAATATTAGTATAGATAATGTGAAAATGGTCAAGTATCTCCCTCAAACTCTTGTACCCAAATTAAAATATTTGTTTATACTTGCTATTGTTTCCTTTTGTTGTTTTTATAATTATACATTTACATTGATTATATTTGTTATTTTCAAATGGATAATCAAGACCCAACCAATTTTGATGCACTAGATTACAATTTAAGAGATGGTATAACAACACCTGCTTAGAAAACTGTACACCAGTCAATGGATGAAAAGTAAAACATCTGCATGTCACCGTACGGTTGGTAACAATTAGTAAATGTGCAATATCATAATGAATGGTGCTACCACCTTTTGCACCACGAAAACAAAATAGTGCACATTTAGAAAAAAGACAATTAACGGCTTAAATTTGGTGTCTCAATTTCATTATCTGAAGAAACAAAAAACAAAAGGTAATTGACAATTGAAATAATAATGTGACTTGCTTAATATATAATTCTTACCTTCTTTCCTTGATGATGACTTACTCCATATTTTACTGACTCTTATTGTAATAACGGATATGATTTCAAGAAATTCATCTCCCTCAGGCATTTTCCCATTTCAGATTTGACAATACTTTTGATCTTTTTCGATTATATCAATTCTTTCTCCTTTGTATGTCCTAGAAATTTGCCTTCCAATATTTTGACCTTGGGCATCACTGAGTAGACATGCATTATCGAAATGCATAACTATCTAGTGCACTTAAACTCATATGAAATTTCAAATTTATAAAAAAAAAGTTGATTATGTTTTATATACTTGAATGGCTAAGTTTTACTATAAAACAAGTGAACGTGAACTTTCTTTTAAAAGAAAATCTTTTATATTATCAAAATTTTCATGAATGTACCGATATTGAATTATTGACTTCCCAGACACTAATTCGCAGATATTTTCCCGTATGCAGTGACCTTAACTACGAGACCTCTCGTTATAAATAAGGCCACCGCAAAGCGCAAGTGCGAGGGGAGAACAGTGATGAAAGAATGTAAACAAACGTGCTCTGGAAGGTAAATAGTAATAACAGATTCTTAAAGAAAAAATTTAATACAACAAATCATTTAACAACTGTTTAGGAAAAGTTTTATTAACAAATGGGAACGCATGGAAAATATAAAAACAAATGTCATGGCTCTTTCAATTCACTTATGTGTCCCGTTTTCCACGTGCTCTGTGTTTATTGTTTATCAATGTCATTGCCAAGATCCGGTAAACTTTGGCAAAATCTCTAAAGTTAATTAGCTTGCGATAAACAATCATTGAATGAAATATCATTTGTCGATAATACGTTATAGATTCGTAATTAATATAAAAAAAAACGTGCATACAAGACTTGGTTAAGTATATATGCATGCATTGGTTCAATAATTTCGATAACATTAAAATTTCAAGAAACTCGTTTCATATGACTTTAATTAATACCGTTTCAATTGATCACTAAATAACGGTCTGCTTACCTTCGTTTGACAGAGCTGATTTATGTTTCTTATGGATGATCTATTCAATTAATTATATGTTAAATTTATCGTTGTTGTTTGCTTGTTTTTTTTCAACTTTGTGTATTGTCTCATCTTTTACTTTTTGCATGACGGTATAAATTTTGTATCATAACCTGGGTCACTCTATATCAATATTTTAGGTGTATTATTTGAATGTCATGTAAAAAACTGTATGTTGTAAATATTATATTTGTTTGCCCTCCTAGTGACCTAATTTGGAAAATAAAATATTTTTCTCCTATCTTTATCTGTATTGAGACGTCCGTTTTGAATTTTTTGGAGTTCGGTATTTTTGTTATTTTTCTTTTTTCCAAAAAGGGTTGTCAAAATACTGGTCATTTTTGCAGATTACACTTTTAACATAGCTCCTATTGTTTTCAGAATAACAGCAATAAAATGTGAAAAATTGAGAATAAAATACATGTATATATTTCAGGGGCAATACCTCAAAAACAGCTTGACAGATTTTTTGAAATTATCAAGGTTAAAAGATCTTGTTGTGTTGATCATTTTTGCAATTTACACTTTAATCTAGCTTCTATATTTTTCACGGTAACAGCAAAAAACTGCAAAAATGGATATTTCAGAGGCCATAATTCAGTGAATTTTTCTCAGAATCTTCGCCATATAATGCCATTTTGCACCACCTATTGTATTTATGATTTAAATTATTTGTTGGGTTTCCATTACCAAGCATGCACTTAACAAGAGGCGGGGGAATCATTTTGTGAGCTTTGCTCACAGTTCCTCTTGTTGTACATAGACTAATCATATTTGAGCTAATATGGGTGCACGTCTTTCATATACAAAAAAAACAGGGTAATTCTGTGTCTTTGAAGCATTCCAGAGAAAATATAAAGGTGTACAGGCCATCAAAATAGTCAAAATGTTGAAAGTAAATCTATCACTGTATTTTATGCATGTAAGAAATGTCCATAATATAACTAGAGAAAACAAATGTTAATAAGAGTTATATATGTCAAATTATTTTCAATATTTGAAAGGCGTATAACTACTGGCATGGGTTGTAGAACCTTTGTTGCAAAAAAATGGCACTTCTCCAAGTTTCATGGTAACAACTAGTACCTACTCACAAAAATATTAAGATTATTATTTGAAATAAACACAAATTAAACTATTTCTTTGAATAATTTTCACTGTTATAGGAGATTACTTCTAAAATGTAAAAGTTGTGTCGCTGGTAATATAAACATATAAGAACATGGTAATCAATAAAATGATATATAGATGTTATCATAATAAAAAAAAGTAATTAGCTACGACTTGGACAAAAAATCAAAACAAGTTTATAAAAGTGGAATATTGAAATACTATTTCGCTAGTAACAATCAGTTTGGTTCAATTTTGTCAAAAAGCTCAAAACCATCGCTGATGTATTATAGGCTTGCAAGTCAATAATTCAATCTAACTTAAATCTATCCATGCGACCTTCTATTTCCCCATAAGCTGGGGATGGGTTGTGCATGTTTAGTTATTTAATAGAAAAGAATGTCAACATTAAAAGTGAAACAGGGAAGCCAACAGGAAGAATCACTTCGTTGAATGGTTCGGCCCACAAAATCATTCTATATAGTTAAAACGATCATTTACACATTTTTGTAATCTAGAAAATGAAATAAAACAGGCCTAGAAAAATCGTCATTATATAATGATTGTGCTTGTTTGTCTAATTGATATTCATATTTGTTGGTCATACGACTATCATTTTCGGAGTTTATCTCGATAGTTAATTAGATGGCGTCTTGTCAATAATACGCATGAAATTATGATACATTACAACACGTCCGTGCACTATTAATTGTTTCTTTTAAACTTTTTGTAATTAAGATATTCGTTTGATAAAAATAGGAAGATGTGGTATGATTGCAAATGAGACAACTCTCCACCACAGACCAAATGACATAGATGTTAAAAACTATAGATCACCATACAGCCTTCAGCAATGAGCAAAACCCATACCGCATAGTAAGCTATAAAATGCTAAAACAATAAACGAAAAATAACTGTGATATACAGCAACAAATGACAACCACTGCATTACAGGCTCCCGACTTAGGACAGGCTCACACAGAATGTGGCGGGGTTAAACATATATGCTGGCACCAAACCCTCCCCCTGGAACAGTGGTATAACACTACAATATAAGAAGAAACTATAAAAAACAGTTGAAAGTGGCTTAACTCATCAGATCGACACAAAGCACATAAAAACCCTAACAAAAATACAAATGACACAAATTATAGATCTGAGAGTACTCGAAGTCACTGAAAGCTAGTTTTAGTATGTTATAAATCAAATATGAGAATTTGAGTAAAATCGGTGAACAAGAATTTGACAGCTGAACTAAGCTAAATCAATAGTACTAAGGGGGACGACCATTTAATATTCGGAGTCTCTATTTGTCTGGCCATCCGTTTGCGCATGCGCAAATGTTCTATAACAGCAGCAGTGTCATGTGACACAGGAAATGTGTCCCGGATGAGATGTCGGGATGCAAACGATTAATTAGAGAGAATGTGATTGCTTTAAAAACAAATTTATATAGGACATACTCCAGAACAATGGCGTGTGCACGTAACAAATGAATAAAGCGTGAAATAAAACTCAAATTGCTGATTTACCCCATTAGCTTTATCTGTATCATTTGAAGCAAAATGTATAAAAACAATTCACAGGAAAACGACAAAATCAAATATACTTGGCTGCAGGATTTGTAAGTTCGACCAAGAATTTATATGGTATTATAGTGGTTGGTGGCTGATGGGCAGGAGGATTTAGGAAATGAATATTCTGGCCTGATAAGAATTGAAAATAAATAATCTTGTCGAAAACAGAATGAAAAAGAATATTTTACCCAAAAAAATGTATGATGTAAAAGTGTACAAAAGTAAAATTAAATGTTTAAATAAGGACAGCTGTGTTATGTGTATCGCTTCTCCAATAACCGGTTTGATGACTTATTTTGCTTGAAGCTTGTATGCAAGGTATAGTATGATAGTCTCCTTTTTTTATATTTAGTTTTGATTATCTTAGGAATAGGGAGGAAATGAAAATAATTTCCTACTGATCTTCCATTCATCCGATTCAAAATCTGTCAATGCCTCTATTTTCCAGTGTAAGGACGCGACCACTGGACGATAGAATGACTTAAAACCAACACCATATCCAAACAAAACATCGCACCAAAATTTATCAAAATGAAGGTTTGACTAAAAATCAACCAAAATTTTTAACAACGTTCCTAAACGTCTTAAATGAAAATAACTTTACGGATTTGTATTAGTAATACCGATTGAAATGGAAGCTCGTGGTCATTACACGAAAGATATGACTAGAAAAAATTAACACAACTTTTTTAAATTAAAATAAAATGACGGATTTATGTCAATACATTCGTTTCTTTTGTAGTGTTATAATAAACCAGAGTACCATTTTATGAATATAGCATGCATACTATTCAAAATAAAAGTATGACTAATTCTGATTTGTCGAATTGTTTACATACAAAACATTGATATTTTAAACATCGTTGTAATATCAGAAAACCATACACAATTGAACGACGTAATTTCAAAAAAGTACATA